CGGCCCACCCTCTTCTCACCTTGTCTATATTACCGGCCCACCCATCTACCCATTCGCACCTTGCTATTACCGGCCCCACCCGTCTCCATTGCACCTTGCTATTACCGGGCCCAATCGCTGCTCAATGCACCCCTATTCTCCGGCCACACCACACCCACAACCCACCCCCCTCGTCTTCATTGCACCTTATGTACCGGCCCACTCGTTCTCCATTGCACCTCATTTACCGGCCACTCGTCTCCATCACCACCCCAGTTCCCCTGGCCCATCGTCTATATTGCACTCCATTCCTCCGGCCCACTCATCTATCAAACACTGGATCATAACTACTATCATAATTCCCTATATAGTACATTGCTATACTACATCTATACTATATACACCCGGCCCATCCGTTGCCTTGGACACTCCACCCCCTCGGCCCCACTCGTCTAACACGGTACAATTATTGCCATGGGCCGGCACCGGGTGGCCCGTCTCTATTGGTACATTGTCACGCCCGGCTGCCCGTCTGAGACGGGTGAATTCACTGAAGGGGCTCTCGTGACACCACCTGCTTTTCAAGTTAGCGAGTTTCCAATGTCCAGCCGGGTTAGAGCAACACCAGAGAAACTTGCTTCAGGACGAAAACCTGGTATTCCTCCTCGATTCGACATGGCGTTGATATCGAATGGTCCTCACACTTCACACCTGCGTACTCTTGATGGTAAGCTTCATTCTGTGTTGGTTTGACGGCAACCTGATTATAGTCTGCTGCAGGTTTGCGAGTGGGTCAAGTCCGTGCTATATTCTCTCTCCCTCGTCAATTTGGCGAATACCGAAGAGCCCTAGCTTATGTAGAATGGTTCACACCTTTCCGAGCTCGTGACCCTTCATCTCGGATGCGACAAGTGTCGCGCTCGACACACCAATTTCGCCGCAATGCGGCAGTCATTCATGTTGATGATATCGTGCGACCGTGCCATCTCATACCGAAGATGGGAGTGTCTGTGGCCCAGAGGTTGATAGGTGGGAATGCATATGAAGCAGCTAATGATTTTTATCTTAATGATTTTATCGACGGTGAAATGTTTTGTGCATCTGTTACAATTATTTAGAAATAACGATGTCATTGTATATTCAGTAGACCTGCAAATACTCGATGGTTGCGCTTGTAGGAACCCGGTAGCGCGGTGGTAAATTATGTAGTATCCTGTAGCTACATGTAGCACAGTATCAACTCTCGTAGCTACCTGTAGCATAGTATTAACTCTCGTAGCTACCTGTAGCTCACTCGTAACTCCTGTAGCTACCTGTAGCTACCTGTAGCACACTTATAACTCCGGTAGCTGTATGTAGCGTGGGTGTAGGATATATAGCGCTATATACCTCTATGTAGTCTAAATGGGGCCTATGTACCACTACAGTACGTATATAACTACCACCTTGACTACGACGATCTTGGTTTCTTCCTGATGTGTGGGTGTCTTCTTGCTCGGCCTCCCTCTATCTATCCTGCCGTTTCCATTCCTTTTGCTCCCTCTCTATCCTATCTTTTTCATTTGATGCTGCTCTCTCCTCCTCCAGTCGGCGAGTACTAACGCGCGCCACAAGTTCTCCTTTCTCAAGTATATCGGTGGGCAGGTGCATGGGTGCCTCAAATAGTATTTGCTTCAGTGTGTGAATAGGTAAAAACAAGAGGGACGAGGGGGGCATTGCAAGGAGGGGGGGCAGGGGGTTGAGGCGTAGAGGGCTGAGGTGACGAGCGGGGTGAAGTTCATGGGCACGCATGAGGCGGGCAAGTGGTAGACGCTGGAGATGGGTGTGGAGTGGAAGGAGGCGCTGATCGAGGGGATGGTTGCGGCTGCGAGGCTGTCCTAAATTGTGGTTGTGATTGAGTTGGAGGGGGCGGGAACTGTGTAGGAGGGCTCTGGCGCTATCTTGGGGACTCGGGGGAAATCAGGCGGTAGTGCAGACGTGTGTTGCTAAGTCGGGGGTGGAGGTCAGGTGTGATGGTAGGATTCGTTTGATTAGGGAAAGGTGCCTGATAGCATCTGGGAGAGTGATAAAAGGATGCATAGCACCCATGGAGAGATGTTAGACTCCACGAGGTCATTCTTCTCGGTGGGACCTTCATTGTATTATGGATCAACATAGCGGCGGAGCTTGGAGAGCGGGACTTGGGCTGATACTTACTGGATGCAGTTACTGAATACAATACTACATCGGATCGGGATGCATTTGGTTGATGGTTGAGGCCTTGAGGAGCGTACTAGGTTATAGGAGAACAGCACAGACGCAGCTGGTTAGGGACACTGTAGCCAGCGAGTCGAGACACTCTCCGGTATTTGCCGAGGATATAACAAATCGCTGTCGGTTTTTGCTCATCCTCAGGCACTGGCACTTCCATTTGCATACATTCTTCATTTTCACTTCTGAGGCGAGAATAATCTTATAGAGATCAGCGATGTCTCGGCAGTGACTCAGTATACTTGCTACTGGCACTTCCATTGCAAAAGGGGTCACCAAAATTCCGTGGTTATTCCTCGATTTCATCGTGACTCGCTAGGAATATTTCTCGATGCGGCACAAAAAGAAAATGATAGAGATCAGTCTTTTTTTCTTCTCGGCGGCAACCACTACGCACTAGCACTTCCATTGCAAAGAAACATCTCGTTTGCGAGGAATAATTTCGCACAAGAGGATTTGTTCTTGGGGTCAGTCGGCTCAGCATCATCGTATTTACCTTTCTCTCGCTCGCCCCCAGCACTGGATGTTACTGGTTGTTCAAGTGCGACATAACTCACATACTGTCTTTCCATATTTGACCCGAGGCATTCTTCGTTACCCGCATTCTGTTCCCCTGCTGCCCGTTAAGTCGTCAGGTCTGTTGCCTCGTCCATTTTACATAAGTAAGCCACATTCTTTGATCTCGGCATCCTTTTCGAATGATGTATTCTATCCTCTTCCCGCCTAATCCCTATATCGTTTTAACACGCTGCAAGTTGAACGGTGCTTGGTTTTACGCCCACATGGTCTCTACTTACACTTCTCTCTTGCGTTCGGTTGTGAAAGACGTGTTTTTCGTGTATTAACATAGCATGGTCTCCGAACGGTGAGAGCGTTGCAGGTGGAAGGGATGACGGGAAAGTGAGGTTGTGGGACGTCGAAACGGGGAAGGTCATAACAGCGGTAGTTCTCAAGAATTGCGACATGAGGATTCATCGAGAGGGCTCTCCATGGCCAGTCTTGAGCTTGAGCTCGGCATGGACGTCACGGTTAAAAACAAGCTTATCTCCGGGTCTGTAAGTTTCGATACGCTGAGCAGAATAATATAAGGCGTGGAGTTTTCTATATGAGGACTCAGGACGACGCTGGCTCATAATGAACGGGAGGATCATTCTCTTCCATCTCATCAACTCAGTCCAACTCGTATTGACTTTAATCTGCTTTTTTGCGGCTGCGGACTTCACCACTTTGCTAGTGTTGTACACACTACGAAATACAATCTATTCCATTGCAGCGTACTAAATGACGCGTATGAGTGATGCGAGAGTTATGAGGCCAGGTCAGCACATGTCTGCTCCAGCCGACTGATCACCAGCAGCCTGGGCCATGGTTAGTCACTTTCGCTGATTACCGACCATGTCATCGCCCACTTCTTTACCACAGATTCTCCCGCTGCCTTAAGTCTCATCTCTTCATATCGGCGCTTAATGGAATCAACACCAGCGTCTATCGTGCCGAACACATCAATACACACGTGCGACATGCCCTGCACCCTCTCACCCTCTCATCCAATATCAACAGTCCCCATATCCCTACCCTCCATCTTGTCCCATCGCTCATTCTGCCCACCACTCAATCTTCAATGCTCCAACGTGTTGCTCGTCATTTGCGTCGTCGCGGCATTGTACCCGGTAGCTCGCATGACCAACATATCAGACTCGAAGGTGGCTTACTTTATATCAACTCTGTATCCATCCTCTGACTTTTCCGCTTCATCTACAGTCATCAGTGGAAAAGACCTTCAAGTCCTTTCCGAGCGCATACCCGCAGGAATCTACGTGTCCATCACACTCGCGAAGAGGAGACGCTGGAAATCAGCTATTCAAGTCCCATCATCCAATAGTTCTGTAGCGTGGGGTGATACCGTGACCCTGTAAGGCAATCCACGTAGACTTGCGGACGCGATTCGAAAACTGATCCTCGGTTTCTAGATCACCATATGCATCATCTAAATTATCGGTCGAGATCAGAGCATCCTTTGAGCTAGGTCGAATGCTAGGCAATGGCGAAGTCATCGGGAAACTTAAAATATCGTGGGATAAGTTGCTCCGTCACGGAAATGAGCCTTTCGGTGAGTGACCTGCTTCTCATTCATGCACATCTACTCATGTGTCGTAGAACTGTCCTTCCCACTTGTTCGCGGTGTCCACCCATCTGTCACGTTGAAGGCTGCTGCTGTGAATGGTTGCGGAAACAACAACGGTGAACTGTTGAACGTGAGTGACGCCAGCCTTTGCACTGTCAACTCCTGCTGACAGATCGCAAACTGTAGCCCATCGTCGACTGCAAGATCGCTCAAGACACGGATACGGGTCAAACAAGATCTGGTGAATACGTGACAAGCAAGAGGGTCTCTGACTTGAACGATGCTGTGGCACATTTTGAGTTGGTTCTAGAGCGGTGTCCGGTCGACCACCCTGACCGCGCAGCTGCACTGACCAACCTCGCGTGCGCACGCCTGAAAGGGTACATTCGTAATGATCTTCAAGATATCGACTCTACTACGTGACTATTCCGCGACGCTCTTGCATTGCGTCCACAGGGCCACCCTGATCGTCCGCTATCCCTCTATTACCTCACTGAAGCGCTGACCTGGCGCCACAAGAAGGAAAATACACCTTTCGACATCCGCGAATCTGCTCAGATCTACCATGAGCTACTGTCACTCTGCCCAGAGGGCACCTATCTTCGGAGCATCGCGGAAGGGGCTAATGGCGTGGATTATGTGATTAGCGGATGCAACAATCTTCCGATAGACGCATCCGATGAAGACATCCGCCTTCGACGAATCGTCCTCGAGGTCTGTCCCCAGGGCCATCAACACCGTCTAGGCGCCCTTGACCAGCTTTCGCGGTCACTCCAGACACATTTTGGGCAATGTGGGAGCATTGTTGATATAGACGAGAGCATACAACTTGGTCGCGAAGCTGTTTCTCTGTGTCCCGAGGGACATCCTAATCGTGGTGTCTGCTTAAATAACTTGGCTCTCTCACTCCGCTACTACCGCTTCCGTCACCAGGGCAAATCTGATGACCTCAACGAGGGCATCTCTCTGCTTGAGGACGCACTGTGCCTGAGCCCTGTTGGGCACGAATCTCGTGATGGATTATTGGACAACCTAGGGAGCGCCCTCCTCGACCGTTTCAACCAACGCGGTGAGGTAGAAGACATCAACAGAGCTATCAGCCTCCTTCGCGAGGCATTGACATTGCGCCCACCTGAGCATCAACAACGTAACATCACACTTTCCAACCTTGCCCTCGCACTGATAACCAGATATGGCAAATCACATGCCAACGAGGATCTTAACGAGGCCATCGAGTTGTGCCGTGAATCAATTCGGTTAACGCCGTATGGCCATCCAGAGTGCCATGGAGTTCTTTTCAATTTGAGCTGGGCACTCTGCTCTCGTTTCACGAGAACTCAGAAGATTGAAGATGTTGAGGAGGCCATTGAGCTCTGCCAAGAATCACTGGTAACTTTGCCATCGCTGCATCCAGATAGATTCTACAGCTACATGCGGCTGCAGGAGGCCTATCTGTCTCGTTACCAGGTGCAATGCAATTTGGCTGATTTGTCACTCGCAGTTGAAAACTTCAGATTGGCGTCAATGCACCCCACTAAAGGATTCCTAGAACGCATCATTATAGCATACAATTGGACTGTGGTAGCAGAACAGCATGGCCATGAATCTGCACTGGAGGCCTACACAATATTTCTCGACCTTCTTGATGATCATTTGTCAACACGCTCATCAACTATTTCACGGCAGGAAGCTACTACTACCTTCCATTATGCCAGAACACTCCCTGTAGATGCATCATCATGTGCCTTACGCCGTCATAACCTAGAAAAGGCTGTCGAACTCGTGGAGCAGGGCCGTGGCCAGCAGTGGTCACTGGCGTCTCGGCTCAGGACTCCAGTCGAAGAACTCGAATCAGCAAACCAAAAACTGGCTCACGAGTTTTCGGAGCTGAGCAAGCGTGTTTCCGATGCTGCTCAGGGTTCTGCAGCAATCACCGACAGAGCTGCTGCTGATCAGGCAGCAATGAAGTACAGGAGGTGTACAGAGCAGTGGGAAGCTGCAGTGGGCAAAATCCGCAACATTCGAGGTTTCTCGCGGTTCCTCCTCCCGCTGTCATACGAAGACTTGCAGGTGGCAGCGCGCGACGGCCCAGTCATAATTCTCATTGCCAGCAAATATTCGTGCAATGCGCTCATTGTCCCGACGTCAGGGGTGCCCCATCATGTTCCTTTCCCGTCTCTCACTCTCGCTGATCTTGCGAAGCTCAAAGACGACTTCACGATGGCGATACGGCATGCATCGCTGATGGGCCCAACAGAGTCGCGGACGGAGTTGATAGTACTCTTGCGGAAGTTATGGGACGAGATCATGCTACCCATCGTCAAGGTACTGGGGCATGATCTCAAAGTCAAGCCCCGCTCTCGAATCTGGCTGTGTCCAACTGCAGCATTTACCTCCATTCCTCTTCACGCAGCTCATCCCTCTCGAACGAAAGCAGATGGAAGTGGGCGGGAATTATCCCTCGAGGATATCTTCATTTGCTCCTACACGCCCACACTTTCGGCTCTCATCAGATCTCGACAGGCGATGAAGACGCATCAGACGAGTCCATCCTTTGTGGCGATTGGGCAAAGTCAACCAGGCGCAGGGCAAGGTATGGCACTCGCCACTGTCGACAGCGAGCTTGAGCTCGTCCATAAACGCGTTCCCCCCAACGTCAATTTCAGTACTCTTTCAGGTGACGAAGCTACACAGGCCGGTGCACTCGATGCCTTGCGACGCAACACCTGGGTGCATCTTGCTTGTCACGGCAAGCAGGACCGTGAACAGCCTTACAACTCGCGCTTCGCCATGAGAGATAAGCCTCTCACCCTCCTTGACATCATGGAGAACGACACTCCGCAAGCCGAATTCGCATTCTTGTCAGCGTGTCATACCGCCGTCGGCGATGAAGAGACGCCCGACGAGGTCATCCACCTCGCAGCTGGCCTACAGTTTTCAGGGTTCAAGAGTGTGATTGGCACGCTGTGGGTGGTCGATGACGAAGTCACCAAGCACGTTGTTGAAGCATTCTACGAGAATATGTTCAAGGACTTGAAGGATGGTGTCCTGGACTGTACGAAGGCAGCCAAAGCACTCAATTATGCTACGCATGGGGTGAAGAAGTTGGTGCCACTCGAGCAGAGGATTGTTTTCATTCACATTGGTGTGTAGTTCTATGTCCCATTGCTTTTGTCTCGTACAGATTTACATGTTGTTGATTTTCGATTCCCTTCTATCTCGGTGCATTTGTTAACGTTGTAGGAATTATCTCTTGTATAGTAGTTGTCTGCTGTTCGGCAAATTGATCAGATTTGTTCTCGAAGACAATGCTTGGCATGTACAGTAATATTTGTACTATTAATATTGCAGCGGTGCACATTCTTTTGCTCAAGTGCTTCCTGCAATACGAGTTGACCTTCCAACCATTCAATTCAAGTCTGTCTTGGAAAAATGCAGCTATTTTAGCTGTTTTCACTGATGACTCGTAGTATTAGATAGAGCCTGACGATCAACGCACAAATAACGGGGTCATATGTCGAGTGGCCAATGAGCCGAGGGGAGTACTGAAGAAGTGTAGTGAATCAGTCTCATTGTTGAAGCGCTGAGCGAGGAAATGTGAATAAGAAGAGACGTGGAGTCATCACACACGGACAAAGGAAGGGCAGATCAAAATGACGCGGTACATGTTGATGCGACACTGCGACAAAACATACCTTTGGATCCTCTCCAAATATCACGCGATGTCGCTGAAAACACCGTTAAACTTCATGCTCAATAAAGTACATGCACAAGTACAGCGAGGATGTATCACATTGTAGTACCATTATTCGTGCATCATGCATCGTTCCCGCTGTGTGAAGCCTTGCCCATCTGGTGTCAGTCCCATGCGAAACCCTACCTATGCTTCGTCAACGCCGCGTCAAGCCTCCCGAGTTCTTGGTCGTCTGCACGAGACAAACAAAGGAGATTAAAGTCAATAGTGCGTCCAAGACATCGGGTTAGCTCCTTCTTCACCACAGTTGGTCTATGCTTGATGCCACGAGTTGCGTGTAACGACAGAAAGATGGGTGCAAACGAGTTGTCTCTAATTAGAGTCGGTTATCTATAATAATGACAGTATAGCCTGGGTGAGGTGCTTTGGTTGTCGACTTGTTGATTATCGCACGTACCCCAGGTCTTTGCACTGTGTCACGGACTACTGATGCTTTGATAGATTATCCATTACAGCTCCCACGATGGATAATTTGCCAGACACTCAATTTGGCATGATTCTACTCATTCTGGGGGCTGTCCATGATGGATAATGGAACAGCCAATACTATTTAGTGTGTTCCTACCCTTTCTGGGCTGCATCACCCTCTTGTGTCTGCTTTGAATTTATCCTGCCCCTCTCCCTGCTTCTCTGCAATCTAGATCTGATCATTCCATCAAAAGAACCAACATGAGTCCTTATGTCAGGCTCCCCACATTATTCCCACACATCACATGTTCGCATTTTTCAGCCACACAGTGTGGGAATTACCCCACAACACCAAAAACATCGCCCATTTTGGGAATCTCCACAATATCAATTATTCCCACACCCTCCCCACCTCAGTGCAGCTTCACCACCACACCACAATAGGTCTACCTTCATATATAAGTAGTAGTTTGGTATATATATGTATATTATAATATAATAGTCCGCTTTTTTTGTTTATTTCTGTGCCTGCTCCTCCTCCAGGGCCCTTTCAAAATAGCCTATGGTAAAGAACACTTACACACTTTTGCCCCTTTGATAGGGAAGTGTTCTATTGTATTCAGGACATATTTGGGAGTGTATATGAAGAGATTCCCCCACTTTTTTGACCCCCTGAAGCGCCCTACATCAATAGATATAGCTTATATACAGGAAAATACAAAATATGTTCCCATGTATGTATTTCTAGATAGACATACTTGGAAAAATTATCCCCAGCATCTATTAAACAGCAGGAACAATGTATCAGGAGCCCAGGACCATAGGAGAATTCCCTGTTCCATAGTGCACCCTCCCTCTCCTGGTGGTTCACCCCCTGTGAAAATTTTTCCTGTAGGGTCGAACCTTCAGAGTGGTGGGGAGTCTATTCCTATGCATATTCAGAGTATATCTATCACCTAGCTACCATAGGAAACCTATAGGGTCGTTCAACAGGAACAAAATATTCAAAATCACATTTTCGACATTTTCGATGTTTTTCAATATCTCACCCTTGCACACATGGTCCAACCTGCTCATATATCATCAGTTGTATATATATATATGCTTTGTATACCAAAGATCAGTTTAAAATGGGCCGGAGTTTTGAGCTAGTGTGTATACTTGCTATTTCTACTGATAAGGGGCCCATACTTTTGAAACATCGAAATTTAATAATCAGACACCTGGAGTACATTTCACATATATTCCGTATCATGGACTCAAAAATACAGAAAGATCCACCCAGAATAGAGAGCTGGGGAAGTGAAATAGATAAGAAATCAAGTGTGGGAAACTTTAAATGTCCCGAAGTTCAAAACATCAAAAATGATCAGTTGGTGTATACTTTGCTATGGGCCACCAATTCAAACACTTCTACACCACATCCCCCCCATCAACACTCTGCCCTCAGGGCAGTATGTAGTATAGGTTCCTTAGGTAGTCTATCATGTATCCTACACATTTTTAATGAAATCTTCGACCTGTATCATATATAAATGTGACTTTGTGTGAACAGATGCCAATTGTCACTTTTCACATATATGTTATTTTGCTTGTAATTCACTCAATCCTTGATGGATCTTTCTAAAACGTTAAAGCTATAATTAGGGATATGTATTAGAGGCATCCCAGGTGTCCGATTAATAAACATCGATGATTCAAAGGTATGGGTCCCTTATCAGTAGAAATAGCAAGTATACACACTAGCTCAAAACTCCGGCCCATTTTAAACTGATCTTTGGTATACAAAGCATATATATATATACAACTGATGATATATGAGCAGGTTGGACCATGTGTGCAAGGGTGAGATATTGAAAAACATCGAAAATGTCGAAAATGTGATTTTGAATATTTTGTTCCTGTTGAACGACCCTATAGGTTTCCTATGGTAGCTAGGTGATAGATATACTCTGAATATGCATAGGAATAGACTCCCCACCACTCTGAAGGTTCGACCCTACAGGAAAAATTTTCACAGGGGGTGAACCACCAGGAGAGGGAGGGTGCACTATGGAACAGGGAATTCTCCTATGGTCCTGGGCTCCTGATACATTGTTCCTGCTGTTTAATAGATGCTGGGGATAATTTTTCCAAGTATGTCTATCTAGAAATACATACATGGGAACATATTTTGTATTTTCCTGTATATAAGCTATATCTATTGATGTAGGGCGCTTCAGGGGGTCAAAAAAGTGGGGGAATCTCTTCATATACACTCCCAAATATGTCCTGAATACAATAGAACACTTCCCTATCAAAGGGGCAAAAGTGTGTAAGTGTTCTTTACCATAGGCTATTTTGAAAGGGCCCTGGAGGAGGAGCAGGCACAGAAATAAACAAAAAAAGCGGACTATTATATTATAATATACATATATATACCAAACTACTACTTATATATGAAGGTAGACCTATTGTGGTGTGGTGGTGAAGCTGCACTGAGGTGGGGAGGGTGTGGGAATAATTGATATTGTGGAGATTCCCAAAATGGGCGATGTTTTTGGTGTTGTGGGGTAATTCCCACACTGTGTGGCTGAAAAATGCGAACATGTGATGTGTGGGAATAATGTGGGGAAGCCTGACATGAGAAGAATAGCTGAGTTTTAAAAATGCGAAAAATGTGGCTGTGTATATTGTTCAGATCTCATAGGAGATCACAATCGAGATCAAGAATATCAACTATTATATAAGCGGGACAACAGGTACAGAGCAGCAGGAGCAAGGTAATAGATAATGGATAATGAAGGATATCCTCAAGGGTCCGTGACAAGGAAGTATAACCACATGTCTCTAGTTAGCTATGGTTATCCATAATACTGCCAGGAGCAGCCTCACCAACGAAATCGAGTGCTTGGGTCATCTGCGAGGCCATTGTGAATCGCAACCCATTCATCCACTTGTCTGGTGTCAACAGCTTAGCTTCCCGCACAGTAAATGATACGGAGACGCTGCTGGAACCAGCTATCGAAAAAGCGCTCCAGCCTATCCACAGGTCACCTTGTTGAAATAAATTGGGGCCATTAGGACAGCGTTATCTGCTGGTCTCGTCAACCTCGTTTCGCTGGAAAAAGTCAGTAAACGGTCAGTGTTCTGATACAACGCTTACCTTGCAACATAATTCACAGATCAAGTCTACTTCATCATTGGGAAGTGTCGCTTGATGCCCGAGTGACTCCTTCATGTCAGTAAGTTATCCGTTGATGATCCGTCGATGAGGCCTAGACCTCCTTCAAAAGATGAGCGCCACAGAATGCTGCATCAGAGAAAGGCGGCGTGTGCGCAGGGGAAATCTTTGCATCATCGACCATAGATTTCGTGGGCTGAAATGAGGAAGACCGCTTGAAAATTTTGAACGTCTCACATTGGTCAGGGCAGTTCGTGAAGAGGATGGAGGATCCTATTGTCCAAAACGATACGCTCAAGCTGAACAAATTGTCTGATAAAATCTTCCAGAGAACGTCTGCGATAACATATGGCACTGTCGAGTGGTGCAGGATCACGAGTCCATAACCTCCTCGTAAATAACATGTTCATGGCAACAAGCACGCGGGTGCTGGTATTGAGGGTGACGAGGGGGAGGAGGCTGCATCAGAAAAATACAGAAGATGAACAGGGCAGGACTCGCATAGCATGCGGTAACAGCGTGCTGCACAATCCGCAAATATGCTGGGGAGTATTGAGTCGGAAAACAGACAGGCTCATGCAAGGTGGAGAGGAAGGCGCTCTGTTGAATGTTTATCAACATCAATATAGTTCCTGATATATAGAAAGATACATCTAGTGCCAGTTGCAGAACCTGAGAGCTCCATCCACATATCACTTAACCTGTGAAGAGAACACATGGGACGCGGCCTAAAATTGACTTCCATGACTCCCACTATCTCACCTGGCAGTTGATCGTATGCATCTGTGATTGGAGAGTATCTGTGTGAGTCGGACTGGATGCTGTGTCTCGTGAGTCTGAAGCTGGTCATTCACTTATGGATTCACAGAAAAACTCTTGTGATTCCTCTCAAAAGGCTGAAGCAACTTTCGTATAAATAGTCTTGGAGTGCAAATGGTAAGTGGGTAGTAAGCACATCCAACGATGGGATGGTAAGAATACTTGGAATTGTGAGATGTCGAGAGCAGTGAAACAGTTCTCCAGGATACAAGATCTCTTCGCACCTGTGACTCCCACGTAAGTACTGTAATTAGTAGTGATAGACCGGGCCCTCCGCACCTCTAAGTAGTACTGGATATAGTGAACCACACCCTTGGCAGCACTTTTTAGACCTTCCCACGGTCTTTCAGACTGGGTTTCTTGGTGTGTGCTAACTTATCTCCAAGATGTCCCTCCTGAAAGAACCTCTCGCCCATTGCCTCCAGATTCTACTGAAGTTCCCTACCAAGGTACGTGACCCTCTCCTTTGTAAACTGACAAATAATATTTATTTAAGGACATCTGAGAGGAGTGTCTGCGAGGCTTGGGAGGATTGTTGGGGAGGTTTGAGAGAGTTGCGAGGGAGGTTTGAGAGGGTTGTCAGAGAGATTTGAGAGGGTTGTCGGAGAGGTCTGAGAGGGTCATCGGAGAGGTTTCAGAGGGACGTCAGGGAGGTTTGAGAGGGTTATTGAGGAGGTCTCGGAGGAACATTTGTGATGTTTGAGAGGGTCATCAAGTAGGTTTGAGAGGATTATCAGGGAGGTCTGGGAGGAACATTTGCGATGTTTGAGACGGTCGTCGAGGAGGTTCGAGAGGACTATCAGGGAGGTCTGGGAGGAATGTTTAGATGTTTTGGAGGACCATTAGTAGTCTTGTCAAAATTCCAGACATTGGTTCGAGCAACATACTAAATATATTGAAATACATCAACAAGATGTTTAACTACATACAGAAGTACTAGGATGTATTAGAAGGGTCAGGTACCAAGAACGAAACACATCGAGGGTGGTGCAGATGAGAGTGGCATAAAAACATAACAGCAGAATAGGAAGGTGGAAATGACCGGAGTACATAAATAAATGTAAGACTGGAAAACATCATAATGAGCTGGGAGGCTGAAGGAGATACATATGATCAAGCAGAAGGAGGCACCTTGTCTGGGTACTCTGCCTGGGAGTTCGAGTTGGGACTTGGTCCATAGTATGGGCTGCGTGAATCGTGACTGGCCCACCTAGAGTCTGCGTTGTATCCAAGTCGTCTCCCATGGGTGTGGGGATCATGATAGTGACCTCTGCTGTGCTGGGGAGGAAATCTATGGCCGCGATCGTCAAAATCACCACGGGGAGGTCCATATTCACGGCGTGTGTATCCATGGTCCACTGCCGGGCCATATCTGTCATGGTATGCCTGTGAGCGACTGCGCTCCCGTTCCATGCTGTAATCCATGCTGGATTCTGCTACTGGGGACAGATCTCGTGTAGGATTGCAAGTATCATAGTGCTCAGGAGGGCTTTCGTAACCATTGCCATTGCGATGATAGTATACATTGTGTGGACGGAGGTGTTGGTAATCCTGCAGCTGCGAAGACATTACTTTTAACACACAAAAATAAGAATATATCACTTACTGATAGGATGCGTCATGGGTATTACAACCAGGCATGTGAGGATCATGCACCTCTCAATTAAGGCATTCACGAGGGTCAGGAAGGAAAGGACCATGAGGGTCAGGAGGCCCACGAGAGTTGTAGAAAGGATAATTCCCTCGATCCTGATGGAAATGATTCCGAAGATCTTGATGGATGGGTTCACAAGAAATTTGACGGTCGGGTTCGCAAGATACTTGATGGACAGGTTCATGAGGATCATGTACTTTGTGATGGAAGGAATCTTGAGAGTGCGCAGACTCCTCACATTGGTGGTCAGTATTTGCAGGCAGGTCTTGAGAATCTGGTAGGTCCTGATGAGTAGCACTGTTGTCACCCGATGTACCCCAGGTGACTGATTCATCACCTCCTCCACCTCCTCTCTGAGGCAAAGGAGGAAGCTCCGTGGCAGAAGAACCACCCAGTTGTTGCAACGCTGCTGCAACTTGGCCAATATCACCGACGGCATCGCCTTCACATGGAGGCAGAGTGCGTGCACTGTTGGTCTCTGTATTGGATGATGGCAATTGCACAGGCGCCTCTGTAGTTTCTGCGGGTGTGTCCACACGGCTTGAAACTGCAGAGTCTTCTATATTGACAGGGGTGGGTTTTGGGGACGGGAGCTTGATGCTTTCACCGTCAGACTCAGCATCAGAATATATCGCACGAAGGGCCCAGCCAAGACGACCCTTCGGATGGGAACCTTTCTTAGCCAGTTGTGCTTTAGTGTGACCTATCAAACAAAGATCAGCCTGTGGCCCAAACAATTGATGTAACCATACCTTTTGTGTCTTCAGCTTTGTTGGAGGGCCCATCACGAAGGCGCTTAGCGTTGTCTGCAAATCGTCAGACAAACAAGCACAGTGAGCTGAGGAAACACTTACTTGTATTAGTCCCAGCAGGAGCATCCCGCTCATTACCTGATGACTCCACGGTCAACGGAGATGATGAACTCCCTTTGGAGGGTGAAGCAATAGGGCCCTGTGATGACGGTCCAATTTTTTCTTTCGATGGTTTGCTGTCGGTCTTCACTGCTTTTGGAAGAAGGTCTACAGGTGATGTGCTCTTCTCTGATGCGAGCAGCTCACCACTGGGCTTCCACCTCTTCCTCTTGCCATGGGATGCATCTTCATACTCCGACTCAGAGGCTGGTTCTGGTCGGCCATGTTCGTCTTGAGAATCGGATGAAGTAGATCGTACTTCAATGACTTCGCGAGCTGGAGGCCTGGGAACAATCTTGAAGGGCCGGGATGGAGGAGGTATCAGTACTTCTGGATGCATAGATGATTTCCCTGCCGAAGTAGCAGATTTTTTGACTTTCATAGTTGCAGCACTAGCCTTGAGGCGAGGTGGACCATTGTAGTCCATATGACCATCAATGAATAGACGTCGAGCACCTGCATGAGGATAGTCTGATGGGGGAGCTTCGCCGATAATGACAGGTATCTCAGAAGCTGATACTGCTGCTATTGAAATGAGATCGTCAACAAAACATTACGAACATATGACAGATCACACATACCTCGTTTCATGATGCTAACTTTCTCTACGTACATAGTCTTCACCTTCAAAGCCTCTACGAGGATTGTGACCTCCTTCTGCGTAAGACTAGCGATGCCCTTGCTCTTCGATTGCGAGGTAACACCATGTGTCTCACCTGGCAGGACACAATTGTGTGCAGGGTAGCCTTTGATGCAAACATTGTTGTCTGCAAGTGTGCTTGGCATTAACTTCCAGGGGAACATCCTGAGGGTGCCAAGTTTGCCTCCGCACATAGCTAGTGTAGGAAAGTCAGCGAGTCTGAATCACAAGAAAAAAATAACGCGAGAACATACCAACTTGTTTTGTAATCTCCCTCTTGATCCATTTGATATTATCCTCTCGTCCCTTTTGCTCTCAGCCCTCCTGCTGGTCAAAAGTCTGATCCTCTATATCCTTCAAGTCAAGGTCCTTGGAGAACGCCACATCATCATCTTCATTGTCCATGAATGTGTCCTCCACAGCAGACAATGATATTTTGTTACTATAGCGTTTGATAAGACATTGTGAACTTGAAGATAATGACGGACTTACTAAACTTGTGCTTTGAGGTGACCGATGATACTGTCATCGTCTGCGCGGCATCGAGTCAGAAAGAACTATCAGAGAACATCAATATCCATGCGAGATTGACTATGACTTTGACCTACATCTGTCGCACCAGGTGTCATGTGTACATGACCGAGTGAAGCGTCCTGGTTGACGATTTTCCTACACATTACGATGGCTGATTCTAAGCCGAACTTTATAGACGCAACGTCCAACTACAATAATATTAAGTAATAAGGATGTACTAGTAAGCGTCAAGGCACCATCAAACTTCGGATAAGCCTCACTATATTTGTCACCCTTCTGTGAAGCCTTTGGAATGCCTGCGCACATTGACTGATTGTTTGAGGCAACCCACCCAGTGATGACAACTCATCATGGGTATCAAGGATGTCTTGATACGTATCGGGGAATTGTTCCTTAAACTTCATGTAGCATTCTTTCCGCACCGTCACACCTATTGTTCAGAGTCAACAAAGTACTGCAATGAGACGACATTTAGAACTTACTTGGAGTGCGCTCGCCAGCTGGAATATTTTGACGAAGTTGAGCGAGCTCCTGCTTAGAATTATCCTTGAAGTAATTAGAACAAAGATTCCAATAGTTGATGCTGCTTGCATTGCGTCCACGGCTCTTCATAAAGAGGTTGATCACTTGATGAACTGGCATTGTGGTCGACCTAGATAACTCAAGCAGGGTCTGATCAACTGCTGCGAACCCTGCATCAAGTGCAGCATTAGTCTCCATAGATCTGCGTCCCACGACAGGTAGCTCCTCTGCTTCTTCTGGAAACCGTTTGCGGACAACAGCAGCAGGAGAGTAGTGACTCAAGTCAAGTTGCTGACTTGGCCCTGGAGTTGGGGTGTGTGTGTTGGCGTCATTCAGCGGTGTAGGTGGGATAATTTTTGGGGAAGGTGGAGGTGCAAGAGGAGCTTGAGAATCTTGAGGAAGGAAGTGAGGCGGTTGTTGAAGATCAAACAGCGGAACTTCACCGGAGAAGTCCTGTGTGAAGCCCGAAGGACCTGGACCCTGGTCTCTGAGTAACGCTTTGAGTGAATCGCCACCCATGAGGTCAAACATATTGGATGCTGGTTGACCTGTCCAAGCAGGCTGCTCACCAATAGAGCTGTAGAACATGTCTTGAAGAGGTGCGGGGGCTGAGGGTTGGAAAGCAGCAGGATCAGACGTAAACGGCGAGGGTTCACGACTGCCACCGGTGCCAGGGGCAACAGTGAGTGAACCACTTGCGGTGGTGTTATCATTGTGAGGTGGGTCCAAAGCTGTGGCACCTGAGTGCGCAGAGGTTTGACTTGCTGCAGAAGGCTGTTGGCCTCTCTGGCATCGAGCGAAGGCACCCTTGATAACCCCAGTGTCCCGTGCAGTCGCCTTCAGATTGCTTCTCAACCTTGAGGGTGTCAGCTTGACTTCTGGATCTTGGTACCGACCTCCACCAAACTGTGGGTATACATAGTTGTCGCCAGCGAGGGGAAAGGCGGCAGATGAATCGACATATCCCAGAGGTAGAGAGGACTGACTTTTGAACATGTCCATGTCCTCGTTGTACTGTGTCTGAGTCATCCTTGAATATTGTAAGCGAGCGAAACATTGGAGCATACCATTACGCACCAATGCAAGTAGGATTGTTGTAGATGCGGTATAGAAAAATAAATCAGAGAGGCCTATGAGCAATATCAAGAGCAACTCAGGAGGAAAATACTCACCACAGCCTCCGTCTTATATGTATTTTTTTGGGGAGTGGCGTCCGAAGGAGACCAGGGTCAGATCATGTTCCATTCTACTACATAACGAGTCAGAATGAGTTAGACTGCAATTAACAACAGAAGCCGACTGACCGGACATGTTTTCGGTAGGGAAAGGTACATCGAGGACTTCAGTAGGTGCAGGAGGAGCATCAACCGAATGTTTTATTCTGCATAATGAGTTAGAATAAGTTGGACTACAAGTAATAGCGGAAGCTGACTAACCAAAAGTTTTGCTATAGGGAAAATCATAAAGATCTGTGGGACTTCAGTAGGTGCAGGAAGAGCATCAACCAAATGTTTTATTCTGCATAACGAGTTAGAATAAGTTGGACTACAAGTAATAGTGGAAGCCAACTAACCGAAAGTTTTGCTATAGGGAAAATCATAAAGATCTGTGAGGGTCGTGAGGGTCGCAAGGACTCCAGTAGGTGCAGGAGGAGCATCGGGAGCCTACCATAAAGTTCATCCACCAATAGAATTGAGAATAAAACTCATATAACCATTGAAACTTGAGCTATAAGACATGATTCAGCTTCAAATCATCGAAATGGGTCTTGAACGACTCACATCTGAGTCATCATGACATTAAAACATCTTCAAGCCTTGGGCCAGTATGGAGATCTTGCGGCCTATTGCAACAAGTGGGACAACTATTACTTGTATGCGATTAGCCTCACGCGGCAGTTCATAAGTAGCATGAACAGAATTCTTACCCTGTTCCAATAGCTCACACCGCATCCAGTACCTGTTAAGGTTCCATGCGCAGTGTGGAAGAAGCTTCTCAAAGTGAGATGGAAGGACAGTGAGAGTTTGATGAAGAATCTGAGTAATGTTCACATGGCGAGTTGAAAGATAAATGTAACACTTATTCTATGATAGCCTTACTGACGTGTTTGAGTTATGATACGTCCTCTGCAACTTGAAGCTTGATGATGGCAGAGAGAAGACTATTGGACATCAGTATGTTGTATGGCCAAGATATATTCTATGATAGCCTGTCTGACACACCATGATTTTATTTTAGCGGCAGGAATATGTTCACCGTCAACTGATAGCTCATAGTCTAAATGCATTTAGGGTACTGTACATACTAGATTACTGGTATAGAAAGTATGCGAGCATGTAGATAATATCGCAGGTCACTCATTTCATGCTCTCGTAGTCACGTAATCTGTCGTCCGTGTAGGACAGCTATAATTGCTGCTAAAATCCATACCCTGCAATCATAACCATTAGTCTGTAGAGGTCTGACCTGTGTGAATCATCAAAAATTGAGAACTTAGTTGTGAGATACCCTTGAACTCACAGTCAACGGGCAAGCTACCCAACCATCCATATCAATATGAACCTCCTGGTCTCGTTGATGCGCCACCATCAGAAGACGACAAATGAGTTTCATAACATCCTGAAAAACGGTCAATATGCTCATCATCGCGCGAAACATGGAAGGAACGTACTTTGACGTCATGTTTCCATGGCTTCCGTTCAGCAAGACTGTCAAATAGATGAAGCTCTTTTCTGGATAAGTAGATAATGCAAACCACCCATTGGCCGATGTTAGATGGCCTATGAATTGGGAGGACCCAGACATCTTTTGCCCAGTAATTTGTCCAGGATGTATTACGCCACAGCATGTCGTCAGCTGCGTTATAGCGGATGCGAGGTAGGTCGTGTGTCGAGAAGACTACTGACGGATCGGGCATGTCCATTTGCAGAAGGACAGCGCAGCCATTGACACACACATCATTGAGGAGCGCTGTTCAAGAAGCAAGGAAAGATATGTCCCTCAGTTCAAAGACTTGACAGGGAAATTGTCTAGTTGATGGTGTTGTTCTTGTAGCTACGCGTCCCGGCATGATAACATGTGAATCTTGAGATGGGGGGCGGAAATCGTCAACCACGAGACCCTACCAATACATTAGTGATTTGGCATATCAACAATATTGACATACCTCGGGGGAATCCCACACTATGTCAGCACAAACATTAGATACTAAGTCTTGATCCTCATTGAACTCCACTCCAGCACTACCACCCTCTAGGATATTGGCAAGCGCAGCTTGCTCGGGCTCGACCTCTGGAAGGTCATCTGCCTCGGGCAGCAGCACTAGCTTGTCCTCAGAGGCAGGCTCCTGCACCGTCACATTTGCCAAATGAAGATTAGTACTTTGAGGACCCCCAGAATACGTTAGAGCACGGTCTAGCGCCTTCTGTGCACAGCTCACAAACTGAAGCGAAGACACGAGCAAGTTGGACCATTGTGTCTGAAGTCGGAGAAAATTTAAGCGCCTCTGTTGCAACAGAACAAGGAAGTGCTCATCTATGGTGAGAAAAGTTTTATGAAACCTTAAATAATACTAGTGGACAGCGAGAATCAAACTTACTTTCAGGTAATCCAATTGAAAGCTCCAACGCCGTCACCTCATCTCCAAAGAATCGGTACAAGTTGTTGGCCTCCTCACCTAAGCGTAACCGCTCTTCTGTGCACCGGTCACGTTTAAGAAGGGCATGAATTCCATCCCTGATATCCGCGTCTTCCAACCAGTGAGGCACCTCTCCCATTGATGGCGTGACCCAGACATCCTGCATTAATGTCTGGTCACCACGTAGTTCAGCTAATTTAGTTGGAAGGGGGGTAGGAAGCGGAATATTCCAAGTATGATTATAGAGTGACTCCAATCGTTCATAGTAAGAATTGAACTTTCGGATTGCCATCATAAGCGCAGGTTGACGCTTGGCTATAGCCTTTCGAGTATGTTGGTGAAGCTTCGTCCCTGTAAAACAAAGTTAGAATGTAGGAATAGTCTAGCATGAGGACTTACCTAATGTTTGGTGCGATCCGCCTACTGCACAATTCAATTTGTCCCATTCAAAAAAACTAGCGATTGCACGCTTTCGAATATTCATCTTGAGATCGCATGCCATGAGAAGGACGCAAACAAAGTCAAGATTGACGCTGTCGAGCTCGGGAAATCTATCATTAATGTTAAGTGAAGAATACAATGCTTCGACTTTCATCATGAGACGATCATGGCCCCTCTGTAGACTCTCAAGGACATCGAGAGTGTCATCCGATGCTGCCTCCTTCTCCAGCATAGTCTTGGTGGCCTGCAAAGCTCGATCCAAGACATCCAGATCGGCCTGTAATTGCTGCTGGTCAGCCCACTGAGCTTGTAGGTCCTCCACAGATGTTTTGGAACGGTTGATGACATCGAGCGCCGCAGAACCCTGGTCCTTGATGCCCCGCTTGAGGCGGCGTTTGATCCAGTCCCCCAGGTCTGATTTCATTTCCGATCCTATCACAGTTGCTTGACGGTCAATTAACCAGATACGGCGCTGACGCTAAATGAATTAAGGCAATTAGTACATGCCAGTAGGATACAAATTGCAAATACAAAATAACATACTGATGACGACCTTTCAACACCTATCAAGCGAACAAGCCGCGACCACAGCCGCTCAGTGCCCTCACCGTCAGATAACCCTAGCCCGATGCACATTCGAGGATTATACACCAGTTGACACGCCCATTCGTGACCATAGGCATGCATCGCTGTGGTCACGAAGCGCAGACGTAATAAGATATCCTTGGGGAGGATCTCAAACTGGAAATGATTAGAAAATGAAGGAAATTGAGAGCATGTACATACATTTGAAAGGGTCCGCACAAGAACACATCCAACATCATAGAGCGTCACGACTGTTGCTTGAGGAGGGAGCAATGTGAACAAATGTTTGATCAGCGCAATCGGATACTTCTGCTGCTTGCCCGGGGAATCAATATTAACAAAAAAAAGGGGGATATCGTGACAGCAAATCAGCGCCATCAATCCCGTGTCGTCAAAGCTGTCCATCGCGGCCTTTTGTTTCTTCCCATCAGCAGCTTCATACGCATTCTCACACAAGTCGATGGCCTCATCAGGGACAAGGGGTGTGTGTACCTTCGCAGGTTGCTTACGTTGTGTATCAATTCTGCGCCCAACCGCATCAACAAACTGTTTAGGAAGGAAGTAGGTGGGCTCATAAAAGTGAGGACAGTCGCCGGCAGATCGGCGGTGGCGATGATGAAAATTCCCGTCAGTAGCAACATGTATGTCGCCACCTTGGTCAACGGGTCTTCCGAACAGCATGCCACTGAAACATGCTGGACATTGTTGGATGAGGAGCGATGCACATTGGCCATGGTGTAAGCCAATTGCAGCTGAATATTCTGCATGTGCTAAGGCGAGTGGTTGGGGTGATTGAAGACCGGCCACATGATCTCAACTTTGTTGGAGAACTGCGTCGACCTGGCGCTTGATTTTGACCTGGAGAACATCATACCACTGTATGGCATGACCTAAACCACGACGGAAGGGTTCCTGCACAACGTCACCCTTCAATCTACGTTAGTAGCATTAATCAATACATAAATATGACTTACGTGTGAGTCGGTCACTTGAAACCCTCAGCACGAATAGTGAGTTTTGAGTGCAGATGCAAGAGCGTTGATGGTGTCGCAAGAGCGCTCAAATAATGCTCGATAAAAAGACAATAGATCGATGGAGACCGCCATACGAGGTTGTGAAGGTGCGGTAGGGAATAGCCTGTGATGAAGAAGGACCTGCGGAAGGCTGGAACATTCACAACTTAGTACATCAATTGATATAAATCCTGTTGGCATATTCACACTCGTTAGATTGTGTGATAGGGCATTAGTGTAAGTACTACTTACTATCAAAGAACAGACACAATATACTAGTCCTTCTCTGAGTGCATGACAGAGTGTCACACACAGAGATAACATTGTGAGTTGTCTCCAGGGCTTGGCCAAGAGTGCGCGCATAATACTTCAATTGCGGGTCTATGAGGGTGGGTATGAGCTTTTTCCAGTTAGCATATAATGTACCCGTCAATTTATCTGGAAGAGTGCGCTGCTTGGATGGACTGGTCTCCAAGTCTGCAGGCCTATCAGAAGATACTTCATGTGCCGTCTCAACCTCAGCGCCTGCAAAATCGAAGTTGTTGGTTAGATTTATATCGTCTGCTTCACCAGAGGGACCCTCCAGTGTGGTACCAAGAGAACGGCCTGGTTTAGAGGATGTAGGATCCATGAGTCATTGCATTTGAGAAAGTAGACGACGACGCTTGAGCTCAGCGCCAGGCAGCTTGACAAGGACTTGAGTCTTCCTCTTATCTCTGGCTTTCCTAGGGCTCACGAAGTGTTGCCCAAGGCCAGAGGACATGATTTGAGCTTTGCGAGTATTGCAGGAGTTAGTTAGAGTTATGGCAATAAGAATGGGACAACTTCCTGCAGGAAAACTTGTAGTTAGGACTACTTGGTTTGATATAAGCGGATACCTACCAAGGACGCCTCCTTGGCCTACCAAGTGACCCTCCCTGCATATCATGGGAGCCTACCAATGGACTGACTGAGCCTACAGAGTCTACAAATGAGAGTGCAGGAGGCGCTGTAGGTGCAAGGAGCTAAAAGTACATGTAAGCTATTTTTAGATGGAGGGAGGAATGGTCTTGCAGATAGGTTTCCCACTACACAGTAACCGGGTCTGTAAGACCCTTTAAAGGCACCAAAAAGTGTTGCCTGAGGTGGTGAACCAGGGCTTGGTTCAATAATTGTTCAATATATATTCCCAGGGACTTGCAGTTTCTTTGCCCAGCAGTGTGTGGTAACGGTAGCCGTGGCTATAATTAGAGATACCGCCGGGTAACAACGTCCGTTCCTGACACCGGCAATATCCGCCCTTCATGCTCGCTGTATGCAACAGCGAGCATGTCGTTCTTGCTCATACCTGGGTCAATTTGCGGCGCGTTTTTTGTACTATGGAGGGTATAGTAGATAGTGTAAGTTAATGTCATTGCATGGACACGAGCTTGTGAGAACAAAGGGCTACAAAACACACTAATTGAGGTACCTACAAGTGATGTGAAGCAAAATGTAGTACTATAGGGAAGCATCAGGTGGGGTGAGAGGAGCTAACTACTAATCCAGGTCTTCTCCATTGACGGAAGCCTCTTCATCGCTGCTCTCGATAATCTTGCGACTCTTTGGTTCCGGACATGACACCTTTCCTGTCTTGTTGGACCTCCTCAACTTCTTCGCAGGACGCTCACCTTCAGTGTCCTCTCGCTGCGTGTTCTTGCATTTGTGAGATGTCCCCGAGTTGGAGCTCTTCTTGCGAGGTTTGCCAACCGTTTCTCCTGCTGCTCGACGTCGCTCAAGATCCTCCTTATACTTTTCGAGCTCGGTCTTTGTCAATCTCTTCCAAGCGCAAGTCCCAGCCTTAAGAGCATCACACAACTCCCGTATTTCGCAGACAGTATGGATATTCCAGGGCGATGTGAAAGGAATAGTTGCAGGCCAGCCATTGAGGACTATACTGTAGGATAGGACAATTGATTTGATGTAGTTTGGGTAATTCATGCCAATGTTGTCCTTGCCCATCATTTGGCCTGCCATGGTATGTGAGTTGAAGCATGCAATATAAAAAAAACATATGTAACGTACGTAGACCACTGAGGATGAGTCATCCAACTTGCTTCTGCATGTTTTCGAGGCTGTCACGCTCTATGATATCTGTGAAGGTGAATCAACAATGATATACAGTTTGAGACGAGCGGTCCGAATGTACTTTTGCCCTGGCTACATGCCCATTGTTCAAACTTGCGCGCAACATCATTCAACATGAGGTCCAAGACATCTTCCCAAAAGTCTGCAGCATCATCCGTCGCATACCATGTTGCTGGTGTCTGATCGTTTACGTGCCCTCCTGCAATAAAGAATGTGGTGTAGGTGCCACATCGCTCGCATAACCCATCAAGCTAAGCAACAGTTAGCAAAAAATTGACATCAAAGTCAAAATGTACCTCTCGTCGAATTCTGTCAGTAGTAGCATTAACATCTCGTGCTGCAGCTATGTTATTGCTGTGCAAACCACCGGTTTTGAGCGACTGATGCTCCTGGAGCTGAGCTATATATTCTTTGATCTCTCCGTCGGTCAAATTCTCTTTCTGCATGGATGGATCAGATGTCACCATCTGGCGAATCTCCTGTATCTTCAACTTGCTTCTGACCAGACGAGCTGAATGACTGTCAGTGAGAGTTAATAGTTCCGACATGCAAAACAAACCTCCATTGACCTCCTGGTTCTTAGCATGAACCAGTGCATTGAAGAGTTGAGGTCCGCGGGACTTCTTGTAGTGTGTGTGGTAGGTGATCAGTTTCTTGACGTGGGCCTCAGTAACGCTGTGCAATGCACCAATATCCTTCATTTTTTTGTCCTGGTTGTCAAGGAAACTGCTGATGGTGTCATCGAGTGCCTTCTCACTTTTTTTCCGTTGGGCTGCCTTGAGGGCATTTTTCTGCCTGTGTCAAAGGTGCACCCTTGAGACGGGTAGGGATAACTGGATGACCGGGGTTGCGCGCAGCCCAAGTCGAGTCATCACCTCGCTTATGGAGCTGCAGGTCCATGTTTTGAATGCCTTCCTGGGCCTCGTCAGGAGAGGTGACTTGCGAGTGGGAGGTATCACAATCTGAAGGTAGAGCTGCTGAATCATGTGCTGGAAGGGAGGGAGGGCCATCTGCAGGTGCAAACATGAATGGAGAAGGGTCGTTCCATGTTGAATTGATGGAATTGTGTGCTGGAAGGGAGGGAGTGTCACTTGTAGGTGGGAACGTGAATGCTGGAAGCGAGGGTGCTGGAAAGGAGGGAGTGTCACTTGTAGGTGGGAACATGAACGCTGGAAGCGAGGGCGCTGGAAAGGAGGGAGTGTCACTTGTAGGTGGGAACATGAATAGAGAAGGGTTGCTCCAATCCATGGACAAGAAATTGGGGTCGAGGGGGAAGAATGGAGTAGAGTTGCTGCGATTATCGATATTTGCCTCCCATGAATAGATATCTTCAGTTCCTGGTCCAGGAGGGAAAGATTGCGCATCCACTGTCTGAGCAGGTGGGAGAAGCAAAGCCTGAGGCTCATTCGTGGCTGAAGATGGCCAGGTGGAAGTCTGATGAGTCGCTGAAAAAAAATCAATTCCAGTGAACAGTGTGAGCTTGTGTGCAATGCAAATCACCTGTAGATGCTTTCAATTGATCAGAGCTGTACGGACAGAGGGTAGTATCCATGTTGGGTCTTGAGTGTGGTGGTAAGTAAACCAAATGTTCATAGCATGTCGGATCAACTGGATGTGTCGCGTCTGTCACATCACGTTGTTCAGGAGATCTGGATACACAGTCACAGGTGATTTTCGCAATAAATGAATATTGTACATCAATTGTACATACCATGCATCAAATACCTGCCAGATCATGTGCCATTGTACTGGTGTGAAGTCCCCCTGTTTCACATTTGACTATGGCACTCACCAGAAGCATTTATCCAATAGCTGATATCTTCCATGGTGTCTTGTGCAAGACTGAATTAACACGCGCGAGTTAAGTATATAAGCGGAATGATCGTGATATGACAATCACACTTACATTGCTGCACTGGCTCTCCACAGCCCATTTCAATCAGATGCATCGTGACCTGAAGTTCCCATGTCTCGCATTTGACCATGGCAGCACCAGAAGCATTTGACCGATACCTAAGTGTTCGAGTTAAGTTGTGAAGAAAAATACAACAATAACTTACCTTGTTGTGATGGCTCTCCACAGCCCACCTGCACTAGATGCATCGTAAATTGTAGAACCTAAATTGTAACTTGTGAGATGTTGTAGTTTGTAAACAAAAATCACCCTACTCGCACCTTGTGGACTTGTTATCACGAAAACACGTGTCCAAGTCATGTCTGAGGCAGTTGGCAGTTTGGGGACACTGTGCAAGTACTTGATCGTTATCAGTGTGCACTTACACCTCACCAATCATATGTTGCGTCTCTAGTAGAACTGGTGTGTGGCCTTTAGACCTACAGATGCTGATGAGTTCGACCTACCAGATGAAAATAGGTATCGGTGTTGTAGCACGTGGGGCCTAGACAACTTTGCTTCTGTGACACATTACATCAATACAGGAATTTGCCATGTCCTGCTTTGTCAGCATCAGCATTCAACACTTCAATGGCCGGTGACATCCGTCTTCGGCATATAACTCATCAGAATCAACACTCACAGAGTCGCAAGCATAGTAAGCATCGATCTCATTTGAAGAGAACTGTCATATACTGATTGATGTTAAGACTAGATGCACCGAGGGCAACACCAGCATGCTGCAACTCAGCGCTGGATGTCTAAACCTGTGTGAGTGACAAATTCATATTCCAGCGAAGGTGATCTGGCTGACTTTTTGCTTCTTACAGGGTTCATGAAACTCAAAATGAGAAAGCTCGTGCTCATATGGCAAGGTAAGTTCATTTCTCATATTCAACTCATAGCTGACATCTCATATTCACTCATAGGCTCTGCGCAGTGTACATTCTGATGAGAATGATCAGTGACAGCACAGTGCACTTATGTTTTGCAGGAGAAAGGAGTCATGATTGAGCATGAGTCAGCCTATGGGCTCAGATGATGGCGGTTTGAGTGCGAGTCAGCCTGCGGGCTCAGACAACGGTAAGCATTTAGTATTTTCTTGAATGGCATCTCTGATTTTTTATCAAGAGTCCCTGTCAGCTCAAACCATTCTGTGTCAGCCAGATCTCAAGGCCAAAAGTATGGCCGAAATGCGCCTGTTGATTGGTCAGTGGCAATATTGTTGGGGCCCCAACAATCTTTGGGAAAAGATGTTCAATGAGAAACTGCGGTCTGCGCAAGATCAGGGGAGTGGATCAGTGAACGACTTTTTCAGCCAGTGCAAGGCACACACTACTGACGGTCAACAACTTCTCAATGAATTGAAGCACATCGCTTATAGCCCGTGTAACGGGAGACTGGCGAGGGACAAGTGCATTCAATTGCATGATCTTTTGTCAGTGGTGTTGTCGGAAGTGAGGTTTTTTGAGGTAAAATTTGATGAGTATGCCCCAGCTGTACCATTATCTAGAACATTGTCTACATGATACTACAAACAAGCATAATATAATGTGATTTTCCGATCTTTTGCACGTCTTTCATCCCAATCAATGTGACATGCTGTGAGGTTGACTGAAAATCAATAGTGAACATAGTGAACAACATAGTGAACGTGTTCGCTATTAAAATGTCTTGCCCTCAGTTTCAATTATCAGAGTGATTTATGGTCCAAAAATGCTTGGAAGTTATAAGAATGACCTGTCTCTTGGATTTCATTGATGTCCGAAAGGTTAGCATTTGTTGTGCGAACAGCATATTGAGAGTTCTTGTTGGACGGCTCAGTTTGCATAAGTTAACAACATCTCATTCAAGGTTGTCTGCGTGTGCTGCCGCACCACACGAAATAGCCTTGTGTTATCTCCTGCCTCTCACCATTCCATTGCCACAACAGCATTATCGTGAATATCAATGACATACTTAAATTTCTATTCTTCAAAATGTGGGTACACTCGTAGTATATCATTCTAAGCTGTATCTGCACTCAAACTCGATGCACACCAGGAGTCCCAAACATCCTCTAATGCGCAACATAAATGTATGTACTCAGTTAGACCTGACTCATGTGCTCAGATAAGTCTTCAAGATAAGACCAAAGATCCTCGGAGTTGGTAGATGAGGCTGTAGTGGTCGGACTAGGAGGTGGAGTAGGGTGTATGATTCCAACTGGCCAGAACGGTCCTCCAACAGTGGGAACTGCACGGAGCAGTCCCATATTGTAGTGGCTCGTGTACAACTCCAATGCATCAGCCCAATGATCATACCTGGTGTGAGATGCGCCGCTGATTCCATCAACATGTACTTTGGCGTCAAGCCTAACAAATCAATTGTGAGCAACAGCATTAAAATGTGATCAAAACATACCAGCAAAAAAAATACCAACTTCCTGACCAACAGTTACCACATAGTATCCTTGAACTTGAGTGCCAGCAGGCAGATACTGCTCATCAGGATGGGGTGTGTGCGAGGCTACAGTCGCTTGTTGAGTGGTACTGAATTGCGCAGTATCCGACTCTGCAGCTGATCGGCGATCACGATGCTTTGGCTCTGGTACATCCAAACAAGTACGTGACAGCGTGGAGTGTGTTGGAGAGGGTGATCGTGGTGCATGGCGTGAATGAGAAGGCGATCGTGGTGTGCGGTGTGGATCCCCAATTTTGAAAGTGACTGATTCCTCGACTGTCTTCTTTGAGTAAGTCACGGAGTCAAAGCTTATATCTGACAATGGGTGAGAGATACAGCAAGACTCGGATACTGTGAAGTGAGCAAACAAAACGAACCTGAAATCTTCATTGTGCTCAGAAAATCTTCAAGTCCACCACCACTGGTATTATTGCTTGCCATGGAGCAGGAAGACTTAGTAGAGGTCGCTGTTGAATGGTGGGACCTCATGTCTTTGAGTGAGGAAGTCACTGGCAAATGCGTAGCAAGTGTTCTATCATATGTCACATGAGTAAAGACTTACCGTGACATTGTCTACGCAAACATTGTTGATTGGTCAAGACCAAAGACATTGATGGCCCCAAGATCTTCAAGACTGCACAATTGGACTGGACTATCCAGCCAAAAGGTCCGGCAGCTGGGTTCAACACGTGATTGGAATGGTCGTCGGTTGGCAACTAACACTCTTGCAGGTTCTAAAGCCCTCTCGCAATGTGCTGCTCATGCGCAGGCTCGCAAGATCGAACGTCTGGAAGGTGAGCAATTTGAATTCTTGGAATTCTTGAAAAACTCACAACCTTTTACTAGCAATGACTTTAGAACAATGCCAGGCATTACAAGCCTTGGTTGAGTGTCATGATGGTGCCAACGATGACACAAGTATGGACTTTTCATCAGATTTCAACGAGATCTTGTGAGGAGATCAGCAACTCGAAATCAGTCACAGCAGGAGAGAGTTGGAAGACCTTGCTCAGGAAATAATGGGCAACTTCTGGAAAGGGTGAGTCCATTATTCTATGTTCCTTCTTGAACTTACCTTGGCTGCAACCATGCAGGACCACGCCCAAGGGCCATGGTCCACAATGAAATGATCATTGCACACATGTTATGACCCACGTCCAACAATAATGTTGAAGGAGAGTTCACGACCACTAGGACTCGGTCAGAGATGATGATGAGTAACAGGATTGGATTGAGCGTTGAACGTCTAGGTTACTACAACAGTAGAAACGAAGAGGTTAAGTCTAAGGAGCTCTTATGCTAACTACCCTACTCTTATACATAACATTGAATAGGAGTCTGAAAGAAATCAGCCAATAAGAAAAGAGTCGTACGACTACTGCGGATGACTAAAGATGACTCATGATATATAAGCAGATGAGTAAGACGGCAACTAAACAGAAACCCAAGTTCCGACCAGTTCTTCTTTGGGAAGCGAGATTGTTCTAGCCCGTGGAGTAGGGGAACCAATCGGAGAAGTAACGGGTGACCTATGATGCGGAGTCACGTGACCGGCTCGGGTACTGGAAGTAGCCGAAGGAAAACCGAGAAACGAAAAATGGTTTGTATTAGGAATTTGTGACAACACGCCGTGATTGAGTCCAACGCTGTGTAGATGTATTTGATGCCCAGCTTCCGGTGATTACGGAAGCTTACCTTGAATGGAGTTTGCAGCGTGTTTGAAGTGGGACAAGACCTGGCTTTTTCCATCAAATGGCAAAGGATGCTCTCACTGAGGTAGGAGCAGACTCAGGATCATGGACTGCGACTATCATTGATTTATTTTGTGAGTCGCTCATTTGTTTTGTCAGCTGTGAGCACCTCACGGCATTGTGATAGGCGCTGAGAAGGTAACTCTCACCCTCAAGGCCACCGACTCCTTTATCGCTTCTGCCCTCATTCGTCAGGGTGTAATTCCTTGTTCTCTGATCTCTCCATCTGTTGCTGTGACAGTGGATGCCCTTGAGTGCTACCGAATCGCACATCTACGTGACCCGCATTTCTCGATGCAAGCATTTGCCAAGACTCTGTGTGATTTGCACGCGGTACATTTTCGGCCCTCTGTCTCACTAATTATTGACAAGACTTAAGGTTGAATATTGTCACTACCTCTCACGTCAACTGACCATAGCGTTTAATCTATATCTACAGGTCCACTCAAGTGTTGATGCACTTGTGGCTGAAGTCCTTAATTGCAACACGCCCAATTGGCGCCTCAAGCATGCATGTCCATCATGCACTTATACATTGGCGGACGAAGAACAACTCACATTCAAGCTCCTGAATGCCATGGATGGCAATGACTCGTTGAAGCGCATTCTTCGGCGAACACTTGGTGTCGATGACGAGGACACTCAGTCATCTGAACTCCCACAATGCAACAAGTCCGAGGTGACCGATATCTCCCTCGCAACTATGTCAACAGTTGCGGAAATGGTCATCAAGAAGAAGCAAACACTACTATAGGCACCAATGACACAGTGCATGCCACATGGAGTACTTTTTTCATTCAATGCTTATGTTGTAACATCAGGAGAATCTGTGTGCAGGGCGATGGAAAAACATGGATGACGAAAAGACTAAATGGATGTGGGGAGTGTATGATGAAACAGGTATATTTATTGCCGTCTGCCACCATGGCTTTAGTCTGGTGATGGCTGATATGGTACAGAGCAGGGAATTGTGAGTTGCATCTTCTCTGATGTTCAATCATTAACTAACAGCTTCAATCATCTCTTGTGTCAGGGCAAAATATCCACTTGCTGTGGTTTTGAAGCTTCTCGACACATTTGGTAGCGACCTCGGTGGTGGATACGACATCGGATGTCAATTCAAGACAACACTTGACAACAGTTCATTGGGTACCCGTGCACGATCCCTCAACTACACATCGCTGGTCGGTGCTTTTCACGGGTACGCTCACAAATGGCTTTGTCAGCTCAACCACCTCGCAATGTATGTTTCTGGTCTAGGGCTCGAAGACTTGGAGACATGCGAACGTACCTTTTCAAAGTCAAATGCATTAGCGTCGACAATGCACTATGCCAGCATCTTCCACCATCAGCAAGGTATTACAAATTATTTTGAACACAATGATGACTATGAGATGTACGCAAATTTATGTACGTATTTCACTCTCAATCGTACCGAAGTGTGTTCTAACTAGTCTCACAGCAAATTTTCTGTACCATAACTACAAGCAAGCCCTCAATATCATTTGTGACAGCCAAATAACACTACCAAAGCTCATGCAAGATATCAATGTTACCGAGGAATCTACTTTCAATGAGTGGTTGAAAGAGGAGAAAGTTTACCTCCAGGGTCTTTGCACCGAGCCCGAGCTCAAGACATTGCAGATGGAGTATTGGCAGAAGTTGGTCAATCTGAGTGCCAGCAAGTAAGCTTCTTGGATTCTGCACTAAGCCACTGACTCAATCGTAATTTTACAGGAATGAACTGGATACTGCCAGCTCACTGTGGGCTATGTCCACACCTTCAAATGCCCATAGCTTGGCATCCGACGAGAGTGTGACAAGACGGCTTGAGACAACCAGAAGGCATGCCCTGGAGAACTTTGAGAAGGACTTGGGAGTTGTGCAAGAGCTTGAATGAAAACTCGGGATCTTGCATCGCTGGACACCTGAAGACGCCGACTGGCAAAACACAGGACGTCTCGTTGCCAACTGAAAATACCAGCGCTCGCTTGACCAGTTGGAAGGCCTCATTGTGGCACAGATTTTCGAGCTCACCAAAATGAATAGGTCTGGCACAGGTGAGTCTTTCCTTCACACTACTGCCACTGCTAATCAAAATTTTATAGGCTATAAGATGCGCAAACACATTGCCAAGGCATTGCAAACTCATTCTACGGCAATCAGGAATGCTCTCGACCGCTATAACGCTGCAGCGCGTGCATTGTCCCCTCCACGCCAGACGTTGAAATGGGAGGAGGTGGGGGAGTATGCATTTCTTGCAGAATTTGACCTCCTTCGCGACTCACATTCCAACGTCTCACAACGGCAATGGGCAATGCCAGCAGCTCGCCAAGCCACTGACTTATATTTCAAACACTGTCGTGCAAATGAAGAGATCACCCGACTCAATGTTGAGGTGCGCTGCCTTGCCTCATATATACATGATGAGGATCACTACCTTCGTGAGTGTCAGCAACAAGCGGAGGCCTTTAGTCCAGCTCTCGCACATCAGATCAGTTTGCGGTGGCAAGCCCGAGGCAGGTTCAACTTTCGTCACATCAAACGCTTGCAAGACATCGCCAGACTTCCTGGGTTCTCTGGCACCATTGTGCCTGGAGAGTGTGTCCTTAGAGGCACTGGAGAGAGTACAAGCCTACCGCACGCCAGCATTCCTGCAAGGCTGACATCCCTGACACCCAACACCCTCATTTCCTCCTCCAGCTTGAAGCCACTTGCTACAGAGTCTGCAGATGATCTTGACGATGACGAAGAGGAACTAATGAATATGGAGGAGGCTGCCAAAGCCCTACAGAATGTTCTGCATATCACCATGGACTCATGAGTTGGTTGGAGTGGGTGGGAAGGACTTATTCATTACTACTTCGATACATAGTTTAAGCTTACCGTGTACCACCTGCTCTTTATGTACCTGCTACGCCCTCTGTAATGCAAAAAACGCGCCACAAATTGACCCAGGTATGAGCAAGAATGACGTGCTCGCTGTTGCGCACAGCGAGCACGAAGGGCGGACATTGCCAGCGTCAGGAACAGACATTGTTACCCGGCGGTATCTCTAATTATAGCCACGGCTACCGTTACCACATGCTGCTGGGCAAAGAAACTGCAAGTCTCTGGGAATATATATTGAACAATTATTGAACCGAGCCCTGGTTCACTATATCCGGTACTACTTAGAGGTGCGGAGGGCCCGGTCTATCACTACTAATTACAGTACTTACGTGGGAGTCACAGGTGTCTCTTCGATGTTCATCAGCAAAAGTGCCCAAATCTGGCAAGGGCCGGCAAGGTCCGGAGAGTCTCCCACGGCCACATGATGCCTTCCGAGGCCTGAATGTATTTGTTTGTCATTATGCAAGGTGCGCATACTCGTCTTGTAAGGCCTCACTAGACTCTCTCAACCTCACAGCAGCCTTGCGAGGCATTTCAAGATTGGCACTGTCTAGGATAGGGTTGTGAGGGAAACTTCATTTGTGCGGGCAAATGGTACATTATTTTGATGTTTTGATATCCACCAACCTCAGTGGACATACCAAGCATTCAACCCCAAGCTGTGCGGACAACACATTGGAAGTTTGAACACGTGGAGAAGCAAGCACAGTGAGAAACCATTTGCGACAAAGAAAACACGACCTGCATTTGACGACCCCATCGAAGGTCTCTGTAGTTTGAACATTTTTGATGTCTAAGTCTCAAGCTGCACCTCTGAGAGGTCATAAACGTTCATGCAATCCCGATTTATTGTATGCGCTATAATATACAGTTTTCTTATTCATCAATGGTGTGAAACATGCAGTTCGGTCTGGGTGATGGGTTCTAGAGTGAACTCAACCCTCTCTTAGCTCCACATCTTGAGATGAGTGCTATCTTTGGTATCTTGTCACTGAGCAGAAGCATGTGATCTCGATTGCGAACTGATCTTGACTGTCACCCAGATTATCTACCCAGACCTTATCCTATCGGTTTCAAGATCGGCAATGTCTCATATGGGATTGCGAGGGAAACCTCACTTCTAGTAACGGTTTGTGTTTCAAAGGTACGGTCCAAGTCCTATTTCTGGTTTGGTTCATGCCTTTGAAACACCTCCCTTCAGACCAATCTCATACTATGTGTATTTAAGACTCATCAATCATCATTGATTAACCAGCACCTCTCCAGCAGCACCTCTTGATGCGGCTCTACTTTGTCTTACTATTCTTTTTGCTTGCTTTTATCTCTATGGTCAACTGTCCGAACTGTGATGTTGAAGTTCGTGACCGTGGACTTTCCATGCACCTCAGCAGGTACTGCCGCATGCATGATGTAGCCACAACATCAGTGCTTACTGAACGGCTGGAGCACTGACAAGCAATTGCTGAAGTTGCCCATGCAGAGGAAGAACGGCAACAGGAAGAAGAACGTGAGGCACAGCATTGTCGATGACAGCAGCAGCAGCCTCGTGTTGACGAAGTGAGTATTATTTCTAAAAATTTAACCTTGATATTCATGTAGTATTATCATATGAACAGGTACCAGATATTGACATGTCGGAATTGCCACGACCATCTGGGTGCCCCAACCACCAGATACATCTCCCCAAGCGTTATTGTGATGAAGTTCCTGCCCTGCCAATTCCTGCCCCACCTCCGGTCGCCCCAGATGAGCCAGCACCAGCGCCTGATGACCCTGGTGACATCACCATGGACTTCAATGACAGACCATTATCGGAGCATGCCCCCCCTACCGAGCAATATTGTACAGACACTGATGCATTTGACCTTTTTGGTGAATACCCTCACTCATTTCCAACATACGACCCTGAACATTCAGCGTACTTTGATGCACTTTGTGACTCCTCAACATTCCAGCACGTTGATGGGGACGCCGATTACAAATGGCCATGGTATGCTGGCTTTGGACAGTCACTTGAAGCGGTCCATCATGATTACTTTGCACCATTTCTTAACGCTACAGTTTTTCGGCTCATGACATGGTTTTATAACTTGTCAATCTCGAAATCGTTGCAAGATCTCAATCACTTGGTCAATGATGTCATGTTAGCGGAAGATTTCTGCCAGGAGGATTTGCTAGATTTTAATGCGCCTAGGGAGGCATCACGTCTCGAGAAGGCCCAACACGACCCCACCTCATCCATATTCTCATCTGATGGATGGCACGAGGCCTCAGTGAAAATCCAGCTACCATGTGAAAAAGAGAAGTTCTCTTCTGAGGATCATGCGCCTGAATTTGATGTTGATAGGCTCTATTATCGCAAACCATTAGAGGTCCTCAAATCGGCGTATGCAGAAGTTGCAGCCAAAACATTTCACATGAAGCCATATAAACTATTCTGGCAGCCAGAGGATGACAAACCCCCAGAGCGAATCATTACCGAACTGTATACATCTGACGCCATGCTTCAAGAGCAAGCGAAGCTCAACTCGCAGCCCCATGAACCAGACTGTAACCTAGAAACTGTCATAGCTGCGATCATGCTTTGGTCTGATTCCACTCATTTAGCAAGCTTCGGAAATGCTTCTCTCTGGCCAATATACTTGTTCATTGGTAATCAGTCAAAGTATATTCGTGGCAAGCCAACGTCATTTGCAGCACATCATCTCGCATATATTCCAAAGGTCTGTCTTTGTTTAAACTCAAGATACGAACTACTAATTAGGTGTATAGCTGTCGGATACTATCCAAGACTTCTACAAGAAGACTTTCGGTTGTAGTGCAACAGGAGCAGTACTCACACACTGCAAATGAGAATTGATGCAGGCCATTTGGCGCTTCCTACTCGATGCTGATTTTGTAGATGCATATTGACATGGCTTTGTTGTCAAGTTCCCTGATGGAGTCTTTCGTCGTGTATTTCCATGTTTTTTTCACTTATTCTGCTGATTATCCAGAGAAGTCTGTTTTGCATTTTACTTGATTGCACCATGCTAATCTCCGCAATATCAGGGTTCTACTTGCATGCATGAAATTCCTCGGAAGGTGTCCCTGCCCGTGGTGTCTCGTTAAAAAAGACAACATTTTCAAATTAGGGATGAAGTTTGATTGACGACAGCATACAAAAAATGTTCAAGTCGATAATCATCCAAGGTACAGCCTCATCGAGCGAGTCTGTAAACTCATATTCATTGATGGCTATAGTTTGGCCAGTTCCATAATTGAGAAAATCATTGGTCCCACCTCTGTCACACCTATTCGTGTATGTATGATATGCAATGAGCTTGCAAACTCTACTAATCACATAGTATTAAAATGCCTTTTCAGAGAAGCTCGCCAAGTTCAGTTTCGATTTCTACTCAATGCTTGTGCCCGACTTTATGCATGAGTTTGAGTTAGGAGTATGGAAGGCAACCCTTACTCACCTTCTCTGAATTTTGTATTCGTATGGAGGTACTGCTGTGCAAGATCTCAATGAGTGGTAAGTCGGTTTTTCTCATATATTTGTATGTCCAACATAATATAGGTATCATCTCATACCAACATTTGGATGAGACACCATCTGCAAGTTCAGTGATAATGTATCAGGTCTTATGAAGCTTGCAGTGCATGATTTCGAAGACCTGCTTCAGGTAGGAATATAAGTAATACAGCTGCTGTTACACTGATCAATGTTGGCAGTGTGCGATGCCAGTATTTGATGGTCTTCTACCAGAACCGTTCAACAACTCAATCCTCAACCTTCTGTTTGAGCTAGCCACCTGGCATGCATTCGGGAAGCTTTGTATGCACACAGAGACAACGCTCTACCATTTCGATAACTGTACAACACGGCTAGGAAAGGCTCTCCGGCAATTCCGCAACAATACATGCAAAAAGTTTGCTACTCATGATCTACCGCGTGAAACAGCTGCTTGTGCATGGCGCCGGCGTCTTAAAGCATCTAAAGGCAAGAACAAAAGGTCAGAAGGGACAAATACAGATGCTGAAGGTGATGGCCCCTCCAAGCAACAGCTCCTCAACCTTTCAACTTACAAGCTCCATGCTCTCGGAGACTACGTCAAGTCGATCTGGCAGTACAGGACTATGGACAACTACTCTACACAAGTGGTGAGGATCGGAATCCATGAATAACTAATGATCCACTAATGGTAGTGTTAGGGCGAACTTGAACATCGCCGAGTCAAGCACTTTTATGCATGAACCAACAAGAATAAGTTTGCCAATGGAATTGCAAGACTTCAGTGCCGCAAGCGCATTTTGCAAAGGATGAGAGAGGTGAACCGTGAAAGGGAAGCTGCATAAAGGGTCACTTGCAGCCCGAGACAGAGGATCTTTGCCCATCTCTTCATTTTGTTGACCAGGATCCACTGCTGCATTGCTCACCAGAGATTCATTATCAATGTCCTCGTCACAGAAACACCACTGGGATGTTTCTTCCTGGCTCAGAAAGAATAGAGATGACCAGGCCACAAAGGTAGGTCTCTGATACTTGTATAACGACAAATGTATTTGCTCATCAGATGTAACTAGGATTTTCTTCCGTGTCTCAAAGACCACCTTCTGGGTCGATTATCAGGGTTGGCCTATGACAGAGATGAAACTTCATTTACTGCTACAGAACGGAACTCTGTCATAATCATCAACAACCGGATCTATTGTCACAAAGTGCTTCATGTCAACTACACCACCTACGACTTGCGGCGTGCTCAGGACTCCCTCAACCCCCGCACACATGCAGACATCATGGTTCTTGCTCGTGACCAGAAAGACTCTCATCCATACTGGTATGCCCGGGTTATTGGCATCTTTCATGCCAATATTCGCTACACGAGACAAGGTGCATGTCCCACTATAAAGTGTGTCGACTTTTTGTGGGTCCGCTGGTTCGCCCGTGACATCACTGCACCAACAGGTTGGGCAGCAAAACAGCTGCCATGAGTTGGGTTTTATGACGGAAATGATGAATCAGCATTTGGGTTCCTTGATCCTGACCTCGTCATTCATGGTGTACAACTTATCCCAGCCTTTCGACATCTACATACAACTGCGCTGTTGGGACCATCCATTGCTCGTCAAGCAGCTGACAATGACGAGGATTGGGACTGGTACTGTGTCAACATGTCAGTTATTTCCTACTAACAACATGAATTGAATCTAACAAATTACCAGGTTTGTTGACCGAGACATGTTCATGCACTTCCGTGGAGGAGGTGTGGGGCACAAATCCACATGAAGAGAGACATCATGCCTGCTTGATGATCGTAATGAATTAGATAGGGTTCCTTTTCAAAGAGAGAAAGAGCACCATGGATCAGAATTCAACAAGGGCTCTGAAGAAGATGAGGAAAGTGACGATGATAGCTCAGAAGAAGCAGACAATAGTGAAGGGGAGACAGACAGCATGGATGATAACTCGGATGAGGGTGATGAAGTTCCAGCTCCATTTGAAGCAATGGTAGACGACGCTGTTGCCGACAAGATGGACGAATATGGATACTCTGGCCTTGATCAAGTCCTTGATGAAGATGGCACAGGTGAAGAGACCGATAACAATATCAATGACTTTGGTCCAGAAGATGGAGAGAATGTGATGAATGAGTTCGAGGAGGATAGCTTTGCAGACTTGTGATTGACAACAGTGCGGAAGCGAAGTCACGGACTGGAATAGATATGCACTTCATGTATTCGTTAATGGCATCAATGTTGTATTTCCACATAGTACAGTAACTTATACCTGTATGAGACGGACAGCCAAGGGTGACAATGTACCAATACAGACGGGCCAGCCCATGTGGGCTCATGGCAATAATTGTACCATGATAGACAAGTGGGCCGAGGGTGGTGTGTACCTGATGCAACCGGGTGGGCCAGTGGTATATAGTATAGATGGTAGTATAGTAATGTACTATATAATAGATTATGAATGTCAGTGTGTGATGGAGACAAGTGGGCCGGTAAATGACATGCAATGTAAACAAGTGGGCCAGGGAAATGGGGTATGATGGAGATGAGTGGGCCAACAGGGAATAGGGTGCAATGGAGATGAGTGGGCCAAGGAATGGGGTGCAATGGACGAGTGGGCCACATTATATGCAGTACATGCAGGATATACCATCCAGTAAATTGACATGCCATCCGGTAGATGCAAGACACCATCAGGTTTATGGACATATATATCCATTTACCGGACAGTATATTCAAAATCAAGGGGACTTTTACCCTTTTGTTCTACTTGAGATTTCTCTCATCGGCTGGACGATTCCTCTGTTTCAGCCAGACGGATTCCCTTTATGTCAGCTGGACTAATCCTCTTTATGTCGGCTGGACAAATACTCTGATTCGGCCGGACGAACCCTCCTTATGTCGGCCGGACTAATCCTCTTTACATCGGCCGGACTAACTCTCTGATTGGCCGGACAAATCCTCTGATTTGGTCGGATGAATTCCCTTTATGTTGGCCGGACAAATCCCCTCTACCTCAGCTGATTTCTACACTAGACTTCATCTAGGGTAGTCCTTGTCCAGTAAATGGATATACCGTCCGGTAGAAGTCGTATGAAGGAAACCAACCGGTCAGACTGCAACCGGACCAAAAAAGACCGGACCTTGGTTGCCAGTTGCCTCATGTCTAGGCTGGTCCAGTTGCAGTTGCCTAACTTTTGTGAAAAATAAAAGACCAGACCAGGACCGGTTTCAACTGGTCCATTTTAGTGCTTAAAAGTCCGGTCTGGTCCGGTTTTTTTACCCTATTTGGAGGCAACCGGACCAGGACCAGTCTTTTTATTCCCATAATATCAGCAAACCTGGACTGGACCTGTAAAGACCAATGTTTGTGGTCTTTTGCCGTCCTACAACTGGTTGTGCACTGGTTGCAACTGGGACCGGTCATGTGGCAGTGTAGTACTTCTTCCCACGGTTACAATGGTGGTTTACTTGTATTAAACGGTTAAGATTTGAGCAAGATATGAGCATTACAAAAAATGGTTCCCAAACAGCACCCTGCAAGTGAGTCAAATATGAAAGAACGGTCTAGGACCGGTTGCAACCGGTCGGATGTGGGACCGGTTGCCTATAGATGGGTAGTACTCATCTAGGCGAATCTATTGGTGGTCTGACCTTCAAAAATGGTTGAGATTTGAGAAAGTTATGAGCCTTACAAGAAAGATGCAATACATTTGGTTTTGCTTGGTTTATCACTGATGTTTCAGATTTCTTTAGCGTGTATCTCAATCAAATGATAACCAATTGACAAGGTAAGACTACCAATACACTCATGTTGACTAGGACTACAATTAGTGTATCAGCAAACTAGGTTTTTCACTACAGGCCTCACAGGGCTTATAGTCTTAACTTAATGGTCTAATACGATAGTCTACACTTGATAGTCTCAACTCGACAGTCTGATATGATAGTCTACACTTGATTTGGATCAATTGTTATAATATTAGTAAAATCAGCAAACATCAGTCATATTACTCGTGTGCCTGAACTTTGTTGAACACACCACTTTCTAGTATTTTGCTTATAACTCACTAGGATCTTAACCAAAAAATGTCATGAGACTACTGATAGACTACCATTGACAAGGGCTACAACTTTTATTTTCATCGGAAAATTCCCATGGTCTACCCCTAGTCATTCCTTATCATGTTCCTTAATCAAAATCCTAGTCCCTAATAATAACCAAAATCTCGAAATTTCATGAAGTCTTTCTTTACTATTGGTATTCCTGTTGGTATTCTTAGTCTTAATAAGCAAACATCAGTCATATCACTTGTGTGCCTGAACTTTCCTGACACAACACTTTCTAGTATTTTGCTTATAATTCATTAGGATCTTAACCAAAAAATGTCATGAGACTATGGATAGACTGCCCTTGACAAGGGCTACAACTTTCATTTTCTTCGAAAAAGTTCCCACAGTCTACCCTAGTCATTCCTTATCAAAATCCTAATGGTAGACTATCATATTAGACTTATAGAGTATTGTGATTTATTCTAAGTCCCACTACCACAGGACTGGTCCCAGTTGCAACCGGTGTACAACCGGTTGTAGGACTGCAAACAACCGGAAATATTGGTCTTTATCAGTTCCGGTCCAGTTGCTTGCTATTGTGGGAATAAAAAAACCAGACCGGACTTTTAAGCACTAAAATGGACCAGTTGAAACCAGTCCTGGACTGGTCTTTAATTTTTCACAAAAGTTAGGCAACTGCAACTGGACTGGCCTGGACCCGAGGCAACTGGCAACCGAGGTCCGGTCTTTTTTGGTCCGGTTGTAGTCTGACCGGTTGTCATATTCTGTTCCTGACCCCTATCTTCCGATCCGTCCGATTCATCCGGTTTCTCAGATCCAGTCTAGAGTCCATTTCCCTTGGTTTGCCCATTTGTGTGTAACCTTTGTTCTGCCCCTATATGTCCGGATCACCACTGAGGTCCGGTCTTTTTTGGTCTGGTTGCAGTCTTTTTTGTCTTGCAACCGGACTTTTACACTCTAACCAGATGGGCATGGTACCGGTTGGTATATCCTGTATGCACCAGATAGCATATCCCACTCATTTCCATTGCACCTCATTTACTGGCCCACCCATCTCCATTGCCCCCTATCCCTCGTCGGCTCACTCGTCTCCATTGTGCCTCATATACCGGCCCACCCGTCTCCATTGTGCCTCATATACCGGCCCACCTGTCTCCATTGCACCTCATTCACCGGCCCACCCATCTTCACTGTGCTTCACATACTGGCCCACCCATCTCCATTGTGCTTCATATACCGGCCCATCCGCCTCCATTGCACCTCATGTACTGGCCCACTCGTCTCCATTGTGCTTCACATACTGGCCCACCCATATCCATTGCACCCTGTACCCTCAGCCCACTCGTCTCCATCGCATACTGCATTCACTACTATTCATAATCCTATATAGTATATTCCTATACTACCACCCACACTATATACCACCGGCCCATCCGGTTGCATCAGGTACACACCACCCTCGGCCCACCCGGTTGCATCAGGTACACCACCCTCGGCCCACTCGTCTATCATGGTACAATTATTGCCATGGGCCCACATGGGCTGGCCCGTCTGTATTGGTACATTGTCACCCTTGGCTGTCCGCCTCATACGGGTGAATTCACTGAAGGGGCTCGTATTTCAGCTGTACAGATATCTAAACTATGGGACAACATGTAAAGAGAATGCAATGAGGACGCCGATGGCAGTTGTGGGATGGCCACATCTTGTCAACGACTGTTTTCTCATCCAGCTTCTCGACGAAGTCAGGGAGACAATCGAGAAGTGCGATACGTGCGCAGCGTTCAGCACTTGCAGAGAGTTTGATGGGGGAGCGATGATGATTGAGCCACAGTCATTGGGTGTGACGTTCATTCTGAACTGGAGGACGAGAGGGACCACAGTTGCTGCTGATACACCAACAAACTGGAGTGCAGAGATGAGGCATAGAAGAACGCGGTAAGAGACAGATTTTTGGGAAAGGGAGAACTGTACACACTGTAGTAAGGATGCTTTATCAGCTTCACTGCTCAGGTTGAATCCGTCAGGGCTCATGAGCATCTGGATCAAGCACTTCATGACGCGGAACAACGATGGGGAAGACAATGTGCATTGGTGAAAGAATTCCACATGCTGTGTCTGTGTGTATGATATTGTCAGTAACTGCCATCTGTGAAATGAATTGACACTAACCCAGTGAATGACAGTGCACAGAAGGAGTTGAAGAACTACACGATAGCTCCGCCCATGCGTTCTACTTGCGCTGACTCAGGAATAGCATTGTGGGATCAACGATAGGCTGTGGCCAAGTTTGAATCACGTAGTCTACAGCAAGTACAGACTGTGAGCTATTAATCTCCACAGGGAAGTATACAATTATGATACGAACATTTGATGGACCTTGCTGCCATTGTGGGTGATTGGCTCACTGCAATTGCCCATTATACTCATCGCCTGGGTCAGAAGAATATGTGAGAGCCGCGTTCGTCGGAGGCTGCATTAACTAATCACAAAGTGATTCACTAACCACCAGAGCGCAATGCAACAATCGCGCTCACAGCAATCAATGTCGATCCATGTGTTTCAACAGCCTAGCAAATACCCTTCAATACATATTCAAGTAGCAGGGCGTCATGTCTGACCTTGATGAAGCCATTGAGCTCAATCACTCCCTACTGGAGCTCGTAGCTTATGTGCATGCAAGGATGCCTTTTCCCTTGGTCACCTGAATGACTTTTCGTGCAGCAGCCTACCAGTTTCATTTGCCACTTACACCGGTATCGCTGACACCGAAAGCTGAAAGACTGGCTTCAATTTTGCCGCCGATGGCTCCTGCATAGTTGATTTCAAAAACTGCGCTGTTCTTTATGGCAGTTCTGACTAGTGTGTGCTTCAACTGAAAGGGCAATCAAGGGAGCATTAAAGGAAGAGCAATAATATGTGCAGTGAGTGGTGAAGGAAGACTATGCGTGAGGCAAGCAAGGGAAAATGTTGTGGAGGTCATTGGCAGGAGAGCGATCACATTGTAAGGCTCGACAAGGGAGCTGTTCGCGTTTGTCTTGCATTCATAAAGGTTACACAGCTCATGACTACAGAAGGTAGGTACTCACCAAACCAAAGCCTTTTTCACTATCATTATCGAGGACAATTGTAAATCGCTTCAAGAATACCGAACTAGCACATCATGATGTCGAGCTTACTTCAGCGGGATTTGGAAGAAGTGTATCAAAGTTGCCTTCAGCAATTGACACAGGACGACCTGGTAGAGGGAACAATTAGCTTCGACTAAGGTGAAGTGTGAGACCTATGATAACGAGCGGCGATGGCAAAGACGGCCAACAGAAGCAACTTGGTCACCATCTGTGAAGGTTCTGGACTGGCAGAGTATGGAGTACCCCTCCCAGACTCTGGTGTAGTTGGATTACTACTTCATACGGGTAATTAAGGACCCTGTGTCAATTATGGTCTTGTTAAACAACTTACTTTTGCTTCCTCTTACTTTTAGTAGTCGGATAGAGAGATGTCCAGAATTGCCTGAGGAACAAAAGTGAGCCAAAAAAAAAATGGTTAAAATTTGTGGATGTGGTGGAAGGGGAAGTGGTGCTCCACTACTCAGTCTCGGGGTGGGGACGGGCCATACCAGACTTCATAGGGAGGGGAGTTAAGCAAACCAAAAAGGACACTCACCAATTACAATATTCAGCATACCCACCATGGAGAGGTTTGGGTGTAGAATCATCACTGCACGCAAGTGTCCAGAAAATCATGTGATTTTAATTCAAAGTCAGCTGGCATTTTCCGGTGGTGTATTAACGCTTTGATTATCATTATTTGATTGTTCTATCCCTCAATCTTCATTCTAATGGCTATTATTATTACCAGTACTGAAGAACCTCTCAACTTGGCCAACAGAACCTCCTTCTTCCATGACAACATGGTCATAATGGAGATCGATAATCTTCTTGCTGGATGGCCCACTTACACAATCAACTTCACACCCAAGCATCCAGGACCATTGGTAAGTAATCTTTTTATTGTCTGAATTACTCTCAAAAACTGATATCTACATTATAGAAGCTCATTTTACGCTTGAAGGACGCGTCAAATTTTCGCTCAACTGAAGATGATGATAGCGCAGATGAGGCAGAGGGAACAGGGAAAGTCAATGCACCACCAGTCATCAAGGAAGACCCAGATGTTACCATGGTCTGTGAGGCCACCTCGAAGTACGTGTTTTCTTGTATATCTTGATTATTGCATTGACCCTGACTATAAGGATGCACCTCAGTGTGTCAGTGCGCAACCTGTGCAACTACATGGCAGGTTTAAGGACACTCCTTTGATTGTCGTCTTACGGGAGAAGTTTGAGCGGGAGAACGGTTATACATGGCCCCCTCGTCGTGGCTTCAGGAATATGACTGCCGAAGTACCACTCAAACACATTGACACATTCATGACACTACCTGCTGCTGTAGAAGCATTAAAGTTAGAATGAGTCCCGCCTTCAAGCTTCATTTCTCGCATCCTATCGTTATTGCTTGGTGCATTGTTGTTATATCACTTCCCATGGACATTGTCTCTCATAGTCATACTGTTTTTGTTGTCACGCACTTGCACGCACTCACATTGTAACTGTAGAATTAATTCTGTACTTCTTGTTGCACATATAGCACATATAATCATGTGACCTAATATCACGTCAACATAACCAAATATTTGGAACTTAATCATATCAGTCCCATGCCCTAACCCTTACGTCTAACCACCATCATGTCTTCACGTCATCGTCCTGGCGCATCATCAAGCTCTTCTGATCCCCCGGACTTGGATGCAATGTATATACGAAGCACTAGCGTTTCTTCCATCAGATCCTCTCCAGAGCCTGTGAAACTTGGAAAATGCAAGAATAAGCGGTCAGAGTCACCAGAACCAACGACCTCATCAGTTCCATATCATCAGGCTCTTGCAAGCACACAACAAGGTATTGTAATCTGAATTGTGCCATAAAATTTTGACCTTTGGTGGCAGGAAACATGAAGATTCGAAAACGGATGACACAGAGCTGTACCAAAATGCGGGCAGGAAGGCTTCGAGCCTTCTGGATACATTCGGTGTACCCTCTGCAGCCTTCAAGACTGGTCTTCAATTTGACCGAGGTGGTAAGCGTGATCTGAAACAGTACATACTTTATATCTATGTCATGTTATGTCTAACTCGCTACAGATCTAACGACGTCACTGATCGGCATTTGTTATTGTATAATGGCATCATCAACTACATTCCTGGTCTCGAGAGTGAGCTCGACGACATATCGAGCAAAAAACTCAACATGATCATTGCAATGGTGACTATATGCACATATATGCACTGACAACTGACCTTTTGCATAATAGGTATCGAAGGGTATGAGCGATGGCAGATCTGCGGATCTGAGCTCCATCAAGCACAATTGCCTGCAATACATTGGCCTGAATATGTATAGTAAGGCCAATGCTCTTGACCCACCAATTCCAGAAGTCGAGGATAAGTCAATGCGTGGGCTCAATCACCCGCAGTTGGCCCATTTGCTTTGCCCTCGGAAGAAATTGGATTGGTTTGACGAGGACCCTGATTCGTATGCATTTCTTACTTTTGATTCTTCGTGCTGACATCACTATGTTCAGTGCTATGGCTGCTTTGCAAGCTGGCGAAATAACGATGACAGCATACAATTGGCCTATGTTCTTCTATGAACACAACATTTACGATTCTGCCGAGAAGACAAATGGTCTCTTTTGAAACCATATTGTTGTGAGGGTGCATCTTTGTCTTCTATGCCATCATTTATTTATAATGAAGTTACCATAGTTTTACAAGCATCTTTTCATTGGACCCTCCTCTGTCACCAATGACTCATCAAATGTTCGCAATTCAGCAAAACCGTCAAAAAATCGTGTGTGGGGCTAACAGCTGTTAACAAATACATCATCGCATACATTCATGTCATCGTAAGTCTAGTTCTCTTGCTGCTAGCATCAATACTCCTCTCACAGAGCCATAGACATATTTTACCATCAGCAGTGCTCAGCACCGGATTCGGTATATTGGCGACATGGACTTGGACAAGCTCCTCTGGGCTATTGTTGAAATGCTAGATGACGACGAGGATCCATGGGTCAAAGATACTCTCACATGGTGGAACAGGTATGTTTCGCTGCATGATTGTTTCAGCACTAATCATTCGCAGGCACCTCAAACCAACCAAAGAAAACTCAAACTTGGCCAAGCTCATGCAAAAGGAAAGTGAGAACAACATTGCTCAGATTTGTGCTCAGCGAGCTGCACACCATTCTGCATTAGGTATGTGATATATATATACAATGATGGTACTGATATCTATTTCCCAGTGCCATCGCATCCGGTCAACCCTAGCAATACTCAAGATCCCTCAATGAGTGGCAAGCACACCCGCCCTGCAGAGCACCATGACAAAGAGGATATCCCACGTGCAACCAAATGAATCCGGCAAGTGGGCAAAGCTGTTGACTCACCACATCCCCGAAAGGCTAACGCTCAGCACCATGTTTCTATTTATGACGACAATGAAGAGCTTGCAGCACCATGGCCAAAGTCAACCCACCCCTGACTGGATGGGCAACAGTTCCCACCTACCAAGTCCCTGCCCCAGTGCAGCATGATTTTTTTGGACGACAATGACCAACCAACACCACCCTGAAAACCGATGCACCGCCAGTGTCACCCTGAGTTTGATGCTCAGGACCATACCCCACCACCTCACAAACTCAAATCCAAGTGTCTGGTCTCTGACGCTATCGATTATGAGCAGGAAGCACTACCCCCAAAATTCAAAGCTCAGTACTCTACTGAGGCGACCGGCTATGATGTGGCTCCAGCTTCAATGCAAGCAGGCCGACCTACACTGGATTGTGATGGAGAGGAACAGCAATCTCGACCGTGCAAGCAACAGCATCCTGCGACCTCTGTTCACCATGATGACGAGGATCAGCCTCCATGCCCGAAGCCAAAACCCAAGCCAAAACCTCGTCACACTGCTCACGAGCACGAGGATTCAATAAGCAAGCTCGTGACTGAGCAGTTGGGTATGACTGGGGTATGTCACTGGGACCTTTTTTTCACTCTGCTGACATCATGATTAGCAGTCCTGGCCAGCACCAGCGCCGAGTCCACACCCCTCATCCCAACTGTCTGATCTGACTGACTATGACTTCCCCCCAGAAGCTGCAAACCTTTTTGATGCCCCCCTTGCTCCCTCGAAGCAAAAAGGAAAGAAGAAAGCCATCACGGCTCTAGATGCCCCTCGAAGAACCTCTGGTTGACGAAAGAACGGTTACTAGGACTCGAACTTTATTCATCAGGAAAACCACCAGTCCCTTTTTCCCGCTTATGTTACTTTTTATGCTTAATATGTAATAAATCCAACTGAAAACACTGCTTTTCCCACTTAATTGACTTTTGCAAAAGTGCATTAAGATACACTTAAGCTCACAAGTCCAGACCACCAAAAAAAGCAAGAAAAGTTGTATTTATGTAATAAGTAATAAAAGGTAGTAGTACTAGTAGTACTAAGTCACCCGTGCTCCTTACCGTTAATCCAAGTCGTGGTTCGAACATCGGCCATTGCATGTTGATGTTTCCGTGGAAGAGGTAGGTCCATCAAGGCCAGCGCTAAAAGCGCTGACCTCACCTTGAATGATGCATTCAACCGATTCCTTTTTGCAAGTAGACCCGGGATGCACCTTCTCCTGTGTGACCAGCTCTGGGACCTTGATGCGGATAGCTTCCAGGTAACAAAGCACTGTCTGCAGAACGCTGCCTGATGTATGAGAGTGATGAAGAACCTCATGGACAAACCCTTTCATTGGCGCAACGTTGCACCATAGGGCCTGATCATTCGAACCGGGCGTCAGGGGGATCTCGGGCAAATGAAGGGAGTACAAATTTGGGATGCATGGGGCGGGTGTGGGAGATGGCTGTGTTGTTGGAGATATGGGAGAGGGAAGTTGAGTATTATGCCCATGGAGTGAAATGCTGCATCATTTTGAATGTATAAATGAGGGTGAACATGACTTACCTTGGTGTAGAGGTCGTGCTCGTGGTTGGTGGTGGTACAGAAGCACTGCACTATGGGAAAGCGGTGCTTGCTGTCTGAAAAAAGAAGTTGTCGGGAGACGCCAATTATCAAGTGGCAAATATCAGTAAGTACCGATGATACAAGTTCAGACCATCCACTCACCTATAAATCTATAAATCACAAACTAAATTGTGAAGAAGATGGGCCCTCAGGATCCTGTAAGTGGCCTGTGTGTTGTGTAGATTCGGGATCGCTAACATGATCAATAGTTATTGGCCCGATTCCCGACTCTTTTGCCATCAACACTGCAGATCTATTGCGGACGAGGGCAAAGGTGGCCTGTTGTGGCAGATCGGCCAGACGTACCAGTGGATGTTGTGGATCAGCCAAGCGTGCTAGTGGATGAGGCAGTTCAGCAAGGTTCGGCGAGGGTGGGGTTGTGGAGGAGGCTAAGAGAGTTTCTGAGCCATTGGAATCGCGCATTGCTCGCACGCATCCATGGCGCGGCGCAATCCTCAAGCTGCTGAAGACTGAACAAGGTATGAGGCACATCTCATGTACGATGGATCGGAGATTTACCTTTTCATGTTAGAATGTGCTGCTGGGTGTGGAGAAATGACTTGGCCTGCTGTATAAATTAGTGCTACATGAAAATGGAGATCGTTTGACAGTCAAAAATGAGCGTGATCTTGGCTGAGGGCATTCTCGATGATAAGATAGGGCCCACACAAGATTCGGAGCTACAAACCACAGTAGGAGCACAACATCTCCTATAGCTGGAGGGCACATGGACGAATTTGGTGAGCGCAACAAGGCCGTACTAATCACACTTTGACATTTGCGAGACGGTGAATGAGTACCACTGTATGCCAAAGTGGAGGGCATGTGGGCAGCTCTGGTGGGCGTAACAGAGCTGCACCTGTTCGGATCATATTCTTCAGGGTGGTGGGTGGGTGCCACTGCATGGGGGACACATAGGCGGATGAGGGGGCACATGGATAGAATCTAGCAGGTGCAACAAGGCCACACCTGTTTGGATCATATTCTTTGGGATGGCGGGTGAGTACTGGTGCATGGGGGATGGATAGAGGGGCGGATGGACAGTTCTGGCGAGTATAGCAAGGCCACACCTGTTCGGATCATATTCTTTGGGTTGGCAGGTGGGTGCCACTGCATAGGGGATGCATAGGTGGATTAGGGGGCACAAACGAATTCGGCAAGCATAACAAGGCCGTGCCTGTGCGGATCATATTCTTCTGTGAGGTGAATGAGTACTGCTGTGTGCCAAAGTGAAGGGGGCACGAACAAATCTGCAAGCATAACAAGGCCGCACCCATGCGGATCATATTCTTCCAAGATGGCCTCTGAAGGCAAATGTGACAGTAATTCATTCCTCTGAGCATGTGACTGCGTCAAAAGAATGTCTGTAGTTGGCCTTTCAGTAATTATTTGAGTCTGAGTCAAATAGTCCTACCTAAGATGCGATCTCGAATGCATGATGATCTGCAAACTTGTTTATATAGAACACTCTGAAAGCATCATACGAGTCATAGTGTTTGAGGTCCTGTGGGATGGTATGTGTTCCATAGATTGGGATGAGGTGTGCAGCATGATAAATAGAATCAATGTGGATGATTCCAATTGATGGAGAATGGTTGGCATCATATGAAGGTCGCACTATCCACATCCCAGTGTCCTCGTCGGGTCTATCATCGGCTTTGTCGAACCAATGCACCACAGCGCATGGGTATGAAACTGCCTCGAATGTCAAAGAGAAAAAACACATCACTCGTGCTATTTCCATCCCCCCCATCCCTTCGATACCTGCATCGGTGTTCACAAACACACAGTCATATCGCGGTGCCTCGTTTCTCCAAAGAGGACAAGCACGAATATGCTCACGGCGCATGCCACCAATCCCACTGCGGTCGCTAGGTGCATAGAATGTCGAAGATGCGGAGTTGAAGACTTGAATCTTGCCATCGAATCGAGGACAACTTGCAAGCGGGACTTCAAAGGGAGACCGCTGGTCATCTGGGTTAACTTGTTCGAATAGGAATCGGCGGAGGAGGTTGTAAAGATGGGGAATAGTGAGTTCCGCAGATAAGTCAGGTACAGTTCGTGCGCGATTGCGTTCTGCGCAATGTTGAAAATTAAACAAGGTATTCACAATCAAATATAAGCTGGCTTACGGGGTGTTGTTGCCAACTGAACATGGGCCTGCACCAATGTTGGGCCGTCGATAACTTCACCCTCTTCATTGTTGCCCTGTATAGTGATATCGGGGTCGGGGAGTAGCAGAATGCTACTCTCATTGGGTTGATCGGGCTGGTTGGCATTAGGCTCTGTATTTAACCGCAACCGCTCTAGTATAGATTTTAAGTAAACAATAAAGATGATAGCGCTCAATAAACTCACTTAATGCTCGAAGCGTTTCTGACAGACAAGTGCCCTTCAGCATCCCACAGGCTCTTGAAATCAATGCGCTGAGGCTGCAAGTTTATCAAGGCGCTGGTTTGTCACCAGCATTTGACCAAGGGCTTTGTAGCGACTTGAGCGCCTCCATGGTTCCTTTACGGCTTTAATGTGCTTTGTCTCGGTGATCGAGGAACAAAGGCCATTGGGTGCACCAAACAGTCGGATCAGGAGGATGTAATGGGAACAAGAGTGTTGTCGAGGAGGGAGAATGTGAGAACAACACCAGTGGACTCAAAGATCTTCATGTAATGATGGAATCGGTTGAGAGCATCCTGGATTTGAACCAGCGTGGATTCCGTGATGATATTACGCCGTACGAGATAGCAGAATTCAAGAAATGCACGAAATGTGCGCATGACATCCACTGGGACGTGACCTTCAATGGCAGGGTAGATAAACCTGGACTGTTGTTAGTCTGGCAGTCACGACATTCTAGAAATAACTTACTTTCATAAGTGCTTTCGAATCATCGCTGGTCCATTGTTTGAATCCTCGACCTTGTGGAAAACGTCGAAGACCTGAGAATGAAGCAACTGCAGCGATTCTTCCATGATGTGAGCCTTGAAACGTCGAACTTAGACAAAAAGACATACCTTCGATCTATATCTTCTTGAATTTTTTCCGCTCCTTTCTTTCCATGCACTGTGGTGCAGATACTTTCCAACCCACTCAACTAAATGATCCTTGAAGGTCCCTTTAATCAATTGATGTAGGAGGTTCAGTGCGATAAGTTCATGAATATCAGCTCGAGGGAAGTCATTTGTAAATGGCTAGCAGGGATTAAATTCTATCAACTGCAGTCCTATGAGAAGACCCATGACTTACGACGAGGTCATTGATGATCCCATACTCGTCCCACAGATCGGTAGATGTTACTTCTTCAACGAGTGCTTCTGTATGGTCACGATTGCGACACAACGACTCAGAGTCCAAATTTTTGCGGTGTGACATACACCTGTATATTAAAATCGGTAAGGCGGAAGGTACATTACAATTACTGCTAGGAACCTACCTTGGACACCAAGAGCGCACTATACACGCTAATAGAACCTGCTCTTCATAATCGGCAATATAGGGCCCAAGCCCATAGATTACACGCCGATAGTGCCCGTCACCAAAGCGCACAACCTCTGGTTCGGTCATGCCGGGTCTTAGGTTCTGAAGAATCTTCGAGATAGACGAATGGAAGAGTTGCTGGCGATATTTCCGATATTTTGGGCAAGCAGCATGCTCCTTCGTAGCTGCTCAACTGTAGTTAGCACATAACAATAGTAGTAGGATGAAGATTACTTTTTGGCATAGCTAGGAAGCCAATGATGGCAACAGCGTCACAATGTGCACACTGGACATTATTACAAACATTCCTGATTGATACATATAGCGGATAGTAATCGTTGGTGCCAGTTGCCACTGAAACTGTCATCTTGTCGCTTCCAAGTATAACTGGAAGAAAGGTTGAGCCAGTTGTATCTGGATCTTTGGAAATAATATCCTACCAAAGATCATCAGCATGTATAGCGACATGAAACAAGAAAAGAGAACATACCGCTTGGTTCCAGGCCCAGTCGCCAGACATGAAGTCCTGCCATTGGCGTTCATTGTTGTCAGTCAAGAACTCACGGTAGGGCTGGTAGTCCATCTCCGTGGCATAGTCAGGGTTTGCCAACATGTTTCGAACAACCTCATGGGGGTCTCAATACCAAACATTGTGAGATTGACCCATCCACGGTGGTGTAATTGTTTTCCAGCTTCTCCCCCGTGTACTGGACCCTGAAAGATTGCCATTTGACATCACCCACCGGTGTACTGTCAATGGTTTTATGTAAATCACAGCAGTCTGCAAACAGCGGCTTGTCATTATGTTTCAGGAGGGTTGCAGCCCAAAGATCCAATAAGACGTTGATGTCCCCGGCAGACATCTGGTTGCGCGTGTACAGGAATTCGGCAGTCTCGAATTCGACGCGATCCCGGTATGGAGTCCAGTCATCAGGCGATTTGCTTGGAGGTGGCATTGGGGATGCTCCATCTTCAAGGAATTGACCTGTTGCATCACAAGGACGAGCTTGTGTAAATACCAGTGTTAATTCTAACTAGCTGGAAAAGGACCAAGAAATGTACCATTTAGTTTCGGGTGATAGTTGCAATATAATCTATCACCCGGCCCCACAAACTGCGTGTCCAGATTATCAGGCTCATCGAGAGCCTGACCCACGTCAAATAAGCCTGTGGAGAAGTCATCATGTCCTGCGAGGAAGTCGTTGTGTGGTTCTTCGGGCTCGTCTTCGACTGTAGCAGTATATGAGACACTGGTGCTAGGAGCTGATATGAATGTTGGGTGCAAAGCATTCCAGTGCTTTTTGCGCCCTGCCTGAGTCTTGAAGTAGTGTTCACATTTCAAGTACCCACATGGAATCTGAAGGGCGCTGTGGTCCCTGCGAGCAGCCTTGGGCATCGGATGGTAGCCAAGTCGAAGAGCTGGCCAAAAATGCGTGATGACACTAAGTTCAACATACTGTGTAACAAAGTCCGATTAATGTGTGTGTACATACTTGTTTGGGAGCTTACAAGTTTTTCCAACTTCCAAACCCGCCTTTCTCTCTCCAGCAAAAGTTTTGCCCTTCCTCTTACTTCCCAAGTCGTAAACTCATCTCCTCAGTCATGTCTACCCAAGACACTCCCCGTTGCACCCGTCCATCAAATGCAACCGCTCGGCCTGGCCAGATAGTGCTTGACGCAAAGAACAAGAGGCGTACCAAGGCGCAAAAGGCCGCCGACGACCTTGCCCTCAAGGAAGCGCAGGAAGCACAGGTCCAAAAAGGGCTGGAGCGCTTGGCTGGTATGCAAAATGAGATGGAGAAAGTGCAGGAAGAATTACTCAACAAAAAGGCGATCCCCATTCGGCCCAAGCCAAGGGCTCGTAAGGCGACTAAACCTGTAGTAAGGAGTGGTGATGATCATACTGACAACATGATGGAGGCTGATGAGGCAAACGACCTCCAGGAGGCTGTCGAGATCATGGAGGCTGTCAAGACCGTGGAGGCTGTCAAGACCATGGAGGCTGCCGAGAACATGGAGGATGGAACCACAGGAGCAAAAAAGAGGAAGGTAACAAAGAAAGGCGGAAAGGCGCTGATAAAGGATGCTATCAGTAACATGCAAAAGAAGATCAACGAACCATCATCGAAATTGGAAGGTGATAACGCCAATAACGTGGCACGTGTATCTGATGGGAAAGATACACCAGCACCATAAGGCTTCCTTCTCTCACCATCCAATGTTACTCCTCACTGAATCAAGATTGTATTTCCTCAATCTCACTTCCAGTTTCAATGCTACCACTCAGAAATTTGCATTGGGTGGCCAGGGTGACCAATTGGATTTCAGGCGTTAAGCCCGGAAAATCAGAACCCACTGTCCCACACTATCCAGCACCTCATTTCCAACTCGAGCGCCTCCAACATCAATTTTCTCACAAGGCACTGCCTCCACTGCGGCAACTTTGGATGCACAGGTCCCAATTCGCAAGCCTGTGGCTCCTGTTGCAGAAGCCTCTCATTGGCGACTTTGCAGATGACATTGATGATACGTTGGAGCGCGAGGCCACTATTGCGCAAGCCAAGGGGAAATCGAAGTGATCTGCCACTTTGATCATTGGTATCCACGCGCGTTAATTATTTGCTTCACAGGTGGCCTCGATATTCGATGATAACGTGGACTTCGACGAGCCTAATGCTCCGGTAGCAGTATGAGCCGGATGATGATTCTGTGACTTCGTTCACAGAACAGGAATGGGGCTCGCAGGGGCCTCAGGCTCCATTCACGCAGATTGAAAATCGCGGGACCCTCAAGCGAAAAGCTAGCGTGGATGACGTCTTCAATGACGACAAGGAGTCTATGGTGTCTGACTGGTTCATGGATATTGAAGGCCCCGATTTTGAAGACACATTCGAGCCCAAGCCCGAGCCTCCAGTGGTAGTGAAGAAGGAGAAAGATCCGTGCACAACATTTTCAGTAAGGACATTGAATATAATCGCACTCTCTCTGACACTCGTACAGACATCAGTATTGGTTGTGACTTCTGTCCCTGACAGAAAACCACCTGCTCCCAAAAAAATCAAAGTTGGGGCATCCACTGCACGTGCCCGCAGCACTCCTGCCATCAAACACCAGCTCAACGTGGACACTGGGCCAGAGAACATGAAACCTCGTAGCATATATTGTAATGTTGATTTACCTGCCATGTTGCAGGTAGATCAATGCTGGGCAAAGAAATATCTTCCTACTGTCATGTTATGGGCCGGAAGTTATGAAGACCTCTGGACTATCCCAGATGACGTTCTTCTCCTTCACGCACAGCTAATTTTTAATGCAGTATACAAGGAGCTCAATATCACTATTGTTCATGGTGACGTGATTTATTCCCTTGTAAGTTCCCTATTTTATATCGAGCTTTACTGACTGTACTCATAATTAGACTGCACAGCGAATTTCTGAATGGCGCAGCAACTTCAGCTCGATGGGCCTGGTCATTATTGTGGACTTTTTGTCCTGAAACTCTGACTGCAATTTGGTTCAACTTGCCGCCTACCTTCTCGCAGACTATGCATTCCTATTTGAGGACCCTGACCAGCCAAGTCCCCTCACAACATACCGTTCTCCTTTCATATTACAGCTGTTGGGTATAGCACATCTTAATGCCATCAGTGGGTATGTTGACGTTCCCGACCTCGACACACATGCACTTGCAATAAGGGCCATCAGGATGTCGGGTGTTATTACCCTTTGTGCCGCAGCAGTAAGTTTGATTTTAGAATAATTTAATTTGCACTTATTTTTGTTTTAGATCGAGTGAGCCCTGGGAATGTTTGCAAACAAAAATTTGAAAGTCAAGGATATATTGGTGTCCAGTGCCAGAGGTAAACTTGTCATTAAACTACCCAAAGTCCTCAACAAGGTCACCGGGAGGATGACCAATGCCCCGTTTTTGTTTTCAGCGGCTCGCTGGGCCAAAGTCACCACATCTTTCATCAAATCTATCTCGAGCAAGCCTGCTGGGTACATAGAGACCACGGTACAGATGGCGCGTGCTTGTACTGCCTTAAACGATGCCATCGAATCACCCCAGGACTCGCTTAACGACGACAAGTCGGAGGACAACGAGTGCACTATGCTTTGTAAGTACTTGTCATTCCAGTTTCATCCAACTGACATTCATCGTTGTAGGATGTTGTCTCTTCTACTACACCGCCGCCGGTGGAATCCCGCTGTCGTATCATCATTTTCGCTGCTGTTTTTACCCCCACATGTCCGCCGTTTTTCCTGTACCCCCAGCTGGCTCTCGACTTTTTATATTAGAGTCTCCTTAATTTTATGCTTTCTCGTGTATGCCCCCCTTTTTATGAAAGGCTTGTGCCGCTTTTTCTGCTTTTTTAAGTGAAATAAGTGTGAAATAAGCGAAAATTCAGAGATGGAGTGGGCTTAATTAAGTGGTTCACGCTTTTTCACTCAAATGACTTAATGGTACTTTTCACGTCATTAAGTGACAAATTAAGTTAGAAAAGGAACCAGTGGTTTTCCTGATGTTTCTGCAGCTTTGTTCTCTATTTCTTGCTTATCTGCTTGTTGCTGCCGCTCTGGACTTTACTGTGTGCCAGTGGACTTCGTTCAACTCATGTATTTTTTGATACCAGTACTATTGCACTAATACATTGCCTGTTGGGTACAAATACCCACCTGTACTTGACCGGGTTTTGCATAATCATGGCTGATTAGACACAGCCCGTTATGCATGGTAACCTCTAGTCTTTGACGTTATGCATAATCCCCTCGACTGTATGTATAGTAGTGTTCTCACTGGTGTCTGTAATGCATAATCCCCTCGACTGTTATATAGGATGCTTCAGATCTTCTCTTTCCATGTTCGTTCCTTATTTCACTGGTGTCTGTAATGCATAATGCCCTCCACTGTTATATAGGACACTTCAGATCTTCTCTTTCCATGTTCATTCCTTACCCAGTCATTTGCGGATGTTCCTGGCTGCATCCTTCTGAGATTGCGATCTCGGAGACTGATGCAATCAATGATTATATATAGCGCTACCAACACATAAGGAAAAAGAAGCCTTGCGAATGGATGTTATCCTACTTGTATTCAGGGCACCGCCACTGCTGGGGGTAAGCTCACAGGAACTGCACGCCATTTTCTTAGACAGTTGTCCTGCATCATAATCCGAAGGGCCGCCTGGCGCTTTGCATATGCTTCAAGGCCTTCTAACTCTGCAATGTCCAACCCAATCCTCCGGTTTGCCTGATCCTTCCACCACACCGCATGCCAGTTGAAGAATGTGCACATGCGCCGCATCTCCTCCTGGAGAAGCTCTACTTCTTCTGTCCAACGGTGTGTGCGCGCCCGAGATTTACACCACTCTACATGTAGCACTGTGTAATAGTGTTTTAGCTCGTATCGATCTAATGGACAATTTCTTACCATCAGCAAGAACGGTCTCTCCTTTCCTATCTCCAGTAGTGACACTGCGTGCCTTCCAAATCCACGATAAAGTTCGATTACCTTCGGATTGGCCTATGTGGCCATCAGACATTCCACGAACATGCTCAGGTTCTAGCTTTAGTAGATCATCTCTCCAGCTATGTTCCTGCAAAACATCGCCAAGGATAACTAGAGCAGTCCAGGCCCTACGGTACCACTCTGAATCTGTCTTGATGCTAAGCTCCACCTTAGCGAGAACTCCCACTGCATGTGTATTGGCCCATTGGCCATGCAATTGATTGTCTTTGAACTTGTATAAGTGGCTGCGCAGTCGGAGGTGTCGACGGAGGTCATCGAGAGCATCAAATGCTTGTGCCTGTCGCAGCTCCCATTCATATCTGCACAGACGCTCCTCACAAAATTCGTTTTGAAGCCCTTTTGAGCTGGGACGGCAACCACAGTTTGACCTCATAGGGTTTTTCTTCCCATGAGCTTACAGTACTAGCTGTATCGGATATGCGAACATGGACGACCATAGGCATGTATAACACCTGGACCTTGCACCATTGCTCAATCTTGCATTGTAGCGCATTGCTCCGTTCTTGCAATTTCATAAGCTGAAGGTCCGTTGGGTGAGCTCCCAAGGCAGCATACTCTCTTTCCAGCCGGCATCTAAAAAGCACTGAGATAAAGATACAAGCAACCGAAATATAAACTTACTGCTGGTCTTCGATTTCAATACCCGACAACACAAGAACACTTGGCGATACCTCCGTATGCAGTGAGTAGTTGAGGTCGTGTTCCAGGTCTTCTGCTTCCTTCTGCGAGAGACACAGTCGTACTGCTGCGAGAGACATGGCTGTGAAAGAATGAGAAACATAAGATCATCATAAAAAAACAAACGCACTTGTAGTTGTAACCTCAAAGGGATTTGTCTGTGATCTATCGGCTTCCCAGCCTTCAATAGCCAGCTTCCACTAAGTGACTTCCTCTGGTCGTTCTGCAACCAACGTGTCGTTGAAATCGTTAAAGTCAGCGAGGTGCTGATCATGCTGAGGTATGGCTGCCACAAGCTTTCAGAATAGACTGATGTCTTGACACCAAAATGTTAGTAAGAGGTTCCGATCACACAATGTAGGTTCCACTCACGAAAGTTGGTCACTTTCTTCCAGTTAAAATCTCCGAAGTGATCGTCGAGGGTGTCACGGCATGAGCCAGGGCCCATCTCCCGAGTGCTTGTTGCTACAGGATTGATATTGGCCCACCCGCGCTCTGGTGCCTCCCCATCAGTGCGTCCCATCCCTTTGATAAGGTTGTGTGAATATGTGACTTGGCAGAATGCGATGTGTGCAGGAAGATGGAATTTAGGAACAAGGAACACAAATTCTTTGGTACTGCGTTCAACATGCATTTGACATGGGTATGTAGCCATACAATCCCATAAATTCTTGCTCCATTGACATGCAATATCGTAGGACACGTTGAGTGTGACTACATCCTTCGAGTATTGCAGGGTAGAGAAGAATAAATAGTCCATATTGATGTACCTATAGTACGCGTTGAGTGGTGCAATAATTAGTAAAGCTCTCGCCTACCTCTTGCCCTTCTGGAGATCTCCAACGCCGCAAGGACACTTCATGTTGTGGCGTGAACAATCAACAGTGCTGGCCCCTGTTGCTGCCAAACCGCAAGAGTTTTTAGTCTCGGCCAAGTTTACAGTGTTATGGCTAGCACAGCTACTTTTCTGTATGACGAGTGGGTGAGCAAGTATGATATGGCTAAGATAGATGACCGCACCTCTTGTGGCTGCTTTCCAGTGTCATGGAGAAACTTCTTGAATGCCTTCTCTTCGACGAAGTACGCCCAGCCTTTGTTAAGACCAGGGTCGGCCTTGTTGGATGATACATTTTTGTGCACCAGTCGAAAATTAGCATCAATTGCAAGAAACAAGGAATATTTCCATCTAGATCGTTCCGTGAGTGAACACACCACATGGACTGGACCAACACATGACATACCTTTGCTCAAATGGTGTATCTTCCCAGCCACTCGGAAGATTCTTGCCTGGTTGAGGGCAAGCAGGACACAGCACTGCACATGCACCATGCTGCGTCGCCTCAACCCCGCCAGGGTCATGGCCTCACCCTGAATGTTTGAGGAGGGTGAGGTTTCGCCATTCCTTTACCATCTGTAAGAGAGCATTATAGCGATCCTGTAAGCTGTTGTAAGCCGTTATTAGGAATGAACGAGTCAAATCAAACCTTTGGTGGGTTAACGCCTGTGTTATTAGTCAAGCGCGCGAGTGTTTGCCAATACTCAAAAGTGGAAGCCTTCAATTCAAACAAAAGAATATGGAAGTGGTGGAGAAGTCGAAACATTGCGGTAGTCTTCGGTTCCAGTGTAGTTGCTGGGAACCAACACATGCGAAGGAGTTGTGTCGTACGAGATTGAGCCATTTGACACTCGCAGAAGTGGAGTGTAATATTGTGCACTCCATTGATATCGAGGACCACAAAGTCATTGTGAGCCGATGATGGGTTAGAGCAATGTTCACCAGGGGGGTGTCCAAGTTGAACTTGCAGCCCAAGATCCTGCAGGTCAGTGTCTTCAAAATGTTGGCCGTTCTAGTACTGTGCAGGACAATCAGGGATCAGGGTGAAGTAGTGAGCACTGCTTGTTCCCACCTACCTCAATTCTGTGGGTTGGATTTTCTATATGCCTTTCTACCGTGCATGCCTTGCAATAGAGCTCAGTACCAAGACAATCCTCACATCGAAATTCAGGGGCATTCGTGCATCCTGCAGAACTTCAACATGCTCCCTGAAGTAAGAAATCACTGCGACCCTCCAGACGGAGGAGTTCTAAAAGAAAATGATCCCGCTCCTCCATCCAAGTCAACAATGGGTGATCCTTCAAAAGAACACATCAGTAATTGTATCCAAGATAAATCATCTTTACTCACTCCTAAATGTCGATTCCGCCGTGAAACATTCACCTTGAGTGATGTTTCAGCCAAGTGTTCATTGTAGATGGCTGAGTCGTAGTCTTCGTTAGAGTCCAGAAGAGCCTCATAATCAAAGGCGACAGTATTAGAAGTATGGAAAGCAGATGATTGTGATGGCACAGTGAGAGAGCCTCGTGGAGCACCAAAATACTCTGTCTGAGTTGAGACCTGTGCCAGTCCCTTCACGGTGTAAGATCAATGTTTGTGAGTTGAGACTTGACTGTTTTCCGTATCCTCAGCCTGAGTAGAAGTCGTGTTTTGCATTTGCTGCTGAGATGCCTGATTTTTTGCATTGAGAACATACCAGTCACGCATAAGCTTGTTGAGCTCGCGGCGTCTTTTTCCCATGAGGACTACAGTGTTGAACAATGAAGACATCTACTATTGTAAGAACGGGGTGTTTGATCCCACAGAACCAATTCGCATATTATTATTAACAAAACAACATACCGCACAGGGATCACGTGATGTTCAACACTAGATACAAAGTACGTAGACTATAGTAATCACTTGCCAATGCTAAGCACTAATTGCCAATCAAGTGTCCCTTCATGAAGAGCTTCAAAATATGAGTCCTCACGTAAGTCCATCTTCTGGATCATTTCCTCGCATGCCTGGATGCGAAACTGTAAGATGCGAGTCACCGAACATATCCCCACTCGTAGTTGCTCAGTATAAGGACCCTCTAAGCTCCCGGCTGACGTGGATAAGTTATGTGCTTTCTCCAAGAGTTTGCGTACCTTGCAAACTTTGTTCTCGTATCCTGGCTTCAGTGAATCCCATCCTTCACGGTCAGCAGCACAGACAGTGTTCAATCCTTCAGACTCCAATCGTTGATACGGATTGGAACCTGGTTCATAACCAGCATTGAACCAGATATCATCCAGATGATTAAGGAGTTCGAGTGTCTCCTACAAACAGTGTATTAAAATTTGACAAATCGACCAAAAACGATTGACTCACATCTGAAGCTCCACCCTGGCGACGCCAGCGAGTGCGGGATTTGACACATTCTTGCTGCCGATTCCTGTCGATTGTGAGTTCAGTAGTGCATGCACAAAGAATACTGGACTTGCCTGGCATAGTGTTTTTTCTTGGATTTTAAACGAGCTTGATGGCACTGCTCAGTTGTGTTGTACTTGCATTTCCGGGTCATGCAAGGCGTCAACTGGAAATGTGTGAAAAGGCGTAGGTAAGCTTCTGCACTTGAGTTCAGTTCATGTAATGCCTCAGCCACCACTTCGGGACACATTAAATCGTAGCACATAAGTCTCATTAATTCTTTTGCAGCTGCAAATACAATAGTTTCAACAGTCTGATTTATATTTTGTGCATTCTGACAAGCGCAGGACATGTAAAATGAGCTATTGTATCAGAAATCTCCTGATATCACCATGTTATAGACTCGTGACCCACAAAATGCAAATAGAACTGAATTTCAATGAAAGCATATTGTACAAGTAAAAACATCGAGAGAAAAGATCACGACTTGACATTCAGGGCCTGGATTTGGAGGGCACTCATCCTCCCCATCAATTCTCTCAACATATATGTAAAATATGCGATGGAAATCTATGTATCAGTCCCCACAGGAACATCGCACAACTACGTCACAAAAGTTGCTCCCTCTCTCCTGTGTAGCTTCACCTTCTGTTGCAGATGCAACAGTGGTGGAAATTAGGGTGCTGGTGACTGGTATAGTGAATATATTAAATGGTAAACTCTGGGGGTAGCACTATGAAAATGTACCAGTAGCGTCTGACTTGGAGAGTGTGCCTGTTGCAGTGTGGCTCAATGCGATTGCTATCCCACAAGCATAGCAATGGAGGTGGTGTGCACGGAAAATGCATACCGGACATGCTTCATCTAGAGTCTGTGGACTTGGCAGCTCCTCCGAATCATGTCCCTCGTGTGCAGTAAATATGTCTATTGATCAAGAGTGTGATGAGCCAAGATTCAGATTAATTGAAATGTTGAACATACCATTTTGTTCACTAATTAACATCAATGCTCCTCCCAGCTCATGCAATGTGAATTCTGGGGGGTCATCATCATATCCCTGGTCTGCAGCAAAAAGTCTAATGAGCCATCAGATGAATTGTTGAAAATAAAATTTACCGCTTTGATCCCTAATTAACGTCAATGCCGCAGCCAGCTCATTTATGGTGAATGTTAATGGGGGTGGAAAACGGTGAGCTGTATCATTGTTCCTTGGGCTCTGCATTCCAAATGAGGTGGGTGGAGTGTGAGTAAAAAATAGCAGACGGCAGTAGTTACCGGGCGATTTCAACTCCGATCCAGTGAACACACTTGCTGATTGGTTGAAGGCGTGTGGTCAACATTAAATTTTCAGGCTTGGCTTGCGGTAATACTAGTAGGCCCGCACAAAACTTAAAATTACTCTGCTATTCAAAATAACGTGTACCTCAGCAAGGCAAGCGGTGACAATTGTGTCTTATTGAATGATTATTAATTCAGCCCAGATAACAGGATAAGGTGGCAGGAACAGTCTGGACCACACCTGAGCAAAAGGACTTCCTAGAGACGTACTACAGCAGGTTTCTGTTAGTGCAGCTACAGGCCAAAGTTTCCCAGTACTGGGATCCAATATACCTTGAATGGTTCAAAAGATGGCCTGAAGAGGATGTAGTGTTTAAAAATACTCCTGCCAGCGATTCCCGTACAGATGAGGAGAATAAAGTTCTGGGGGCAGCACTTCAGAAGCGGAGACAGGTAAGCACTGCCCTCATGATGCCCTCATTGATGATGTACATACTGATATGCTCAAAACAGCAAATAAGAACCTGGTTCAATTATAGGTCCCAATGAAGTGGTCATTCAGCTGTAAACTCAATGACTAAAGTCATCTAGAAAATGTTAACCAACAAAGCCAAAGGAACTAGGGTTGATACCCCTGCCGAGATCTTTTCGACCATTGCCTATAAGGAGGAAGTACAAGAGCAGGTTCAAGATGCCATTAAGTCTGGCAAGCTTGTGACTAAACAGGAAAAGTTGTCTGCTGTTCAAAAACTTACATGCGAAGCATATGAAGCCGCACCACCAGAAGTCCAAGCCTCGTGTGAGGAGAAGGTCCGAGAAGAGCACAAAGCGAAAGCTGCCTTTAATGTGCAAAATGAAAAATCCGCGCCTACCAATAAACAGTATGCAACGTAAGTTTCGGTTTTTGCCCATAAAACCAATTTCCCATCACTTATACATTATTACCAGGGCTCTCCAGGAGTGTACTGCTCCCATTGTGCAGTTCTTGCAAGTCATCAAGGACATGACGGGGTGGGAATGGACTGTTATTGGTGCTGGGCCTGACCCTCATCTTGGTGGCCAGCTAAATGCAATGAGGTGCGTCTCATATTTGCTCGCTCATTTTCAGAACGCTCAAGACTTCTTAGTTACCATACAGGAGTGAACGGAGATGGACTCAATTGGAAGCAAGCTACCCCAAAATTTGTCGAGAAGCATCTCAATCCATATATGGAATTTGTTGGAACGCTGTTTCATGAGTAATGTTTCCCATTGATGGTCGGTCATGCATACTCATTGGATTCAATAGCCGAACATATCAGAAAGTCTCGTGCCATTGACATCGTCACCCCACTCGCAAACAGTCTATCACCCACGACTTCATCTCCCTCAGGTGAAGGATCTGTGCATGCCCCCCTTACACTCTCAGACACCCTGTGAGGTGTCGACTTGTCTCAGATGCAGGGACTTCTGCCTTTCAGCGACCCCCTACGAAGTGCTGGTCATGCCTTTGACAGTTCCCGTCTTACCTTTGATAACCTAAGCGCTGGCCTTACCTTTGACAACGAAATGTCCACTGACTTCGGCACTGACGTCTCCATGTCCCTTAATCCCTATGACACCAGTTTTACCAGCACACCAGCATCTAACTATGATTTCATTTTACCTGCCTCCTCCTTGTCGTCCAGTGCAAATACACCGGCGTCCACTATGGGAGACGCAAGCGCTGGCCTTACCTTTGACAATCAAATACCTGCTTACCTTAGCACCAATATCTCTATGTCCCTTGATCCCTATGATGTCAGTGTAACCAGCACCCCAGCATCTAACTATGATTTCATTTTACCTGCCCACTCCTTATCATCTGGCACAACCATGCCAGCGTCCACTATGGGAGACTCATTGCCAGATCTCACCTTATCATCCAGTCCAATGCTGGAAACTCCCATTACATCATGGAGGAAACAGACATACAGTACATCTGCCTTCGCAACACCCCCTCGCCTTCACTTCCGCACTACATCCACTATTGCTACCACATCACTGCCTTGTGCCCCCTTCCCAGCATCAACGGAAGTTGAAGAGTACGACTTCGGTTCTTCTACATACCCCCCTGATCCTCCAGTGGTTCCAGCCACTGGAGCAGCTCTGGTTTTAGCACCGCCAGTAGTATCCTCTGCTAGTGGTTCCAGCAGTGCTGGGGACTTGGATTCTGCCTCTCTCACCCTCCACTGTTGAGGTTGCCCAGGTTTTGAAACAGTCGGCACTCCTCCCTTCTGATGTGGGTAGCGCATCGGGCTCTGCTGGCAGGCAAACGGTATCGCACGATAACCGTGCACTGGCATGTGGTCATCATGTTGTGTGAGCCGATGACATAGTTGTTCCTGCTGTTAGGAAGACGAAGTGTTTGGCACAGGCTGATAACATAGGCAACCATTCTCAAAGGAGGTTCGTGATTTTGGGTGTCTTATTATTTGCAAGTGCAAACACTAACTCAATTTCTAGGAAGAGAAAGGCTATGTGATACTACACTACATTTTGTGTTCCATCGATAATACTGAGTTGTCGTGATGTTTACATGTCTTGTGTTGTTGACATATTGAGAATATGAGCATATTTCTTGTTGAGACTTCGCGATTTGTGAGATGAAAGGCCGATTTTCAAGGCAGACAAGACATAAGCATGGAATTTTGCATAATCAGGCACGAGAGCAACCAGTTTTATTTTCAAAGCAGACAGGACACAGCGTGAAATTTTGCATCGAGAGCAGCCAGTCTTAACACCCAGGCAATACCAATACCTAGAGATGAATTGAAATTCTGCTGATGCGGCAGAGATCGACGAGGACTAGGCCATCAAAGGTACAGCGAATGTAAAATCTCGATCTTCTGCCAATTCGGGGTGCGGGGAACCAGGGGATATATGGCGTGTCCTGCTGAGGGTGTGCAAGAAGGGGGATGCGCTGAATTAGGCTAGCAGAGATCGACGAGGACTAGGCCGTCAAAGGTACAGCGAACGTAAAATCTTGATCTCCTGCCAATTCGGGGTGTGGGGAACCAGGGGATATACAGTATAGGACCGGTCCTTTAGCCACCCCTACTCCTTTAGCCACCTCAGGCAAAACTTCTCATTTGTTCATTTTTTCGTATCAACACCAAGTAATATATTGAAGATAAGGTCTCACCTGAGATTGTTGTAGTATACGATGAAGAATTTATGTCTGTGATGTTGTGTATGATATGAATTGGTTGTTTTTGCCTGCCTTTGTAGATTCTATTGAGGCCATAGTAGACCCATTGATTTTTTTCGGGAAATTCAGGCTGGTAGGATATGAAATATATACTTCAAACATCATTTCACCCTGCAACGGATATCTGATTGTCTCCTTCGTTCGTACTACAGAGTACATAGAAGTGAAACCAGATGATTTGTGAAAGTCTTATCTTAGCGAGTGCGTCACACACATCTGTCACACTAAGCACTTCCAAACTCGAGTCTCTAATTAAGACTGTGCAACATCACTTGCAGCTATGGTAGGACGAGCCAAATCTGATACAAAAAAAAGACAGATACAACGAGAAGAAAAAGACATGGTCATGGCCCAAGCAGTGGCCATTTACCAGGCTGAGCTTGCAAAGGGACCTACAGAGGAGAAAAAAGGACGACGAACAGTGTGCTGGGAAGTCGAGAAGGCATATCTTGATGAGACCGGAAAAGTTGTAAAACTCTGTGGTCAAACACTCCAAAATCTGGCAAAAGGTGGTAGGAGGCTCAGTGACTTCAATAGAGAGAAAAGTTAGCTCACTACAGAAGAGGCAGAGAGGGTGATAGAGTATTCCATTGAGACGGCACGTCGAGGATTCCCGCTGAGCCACAAATGACTCAAGGAACATGTTGACCAAATCCTGCGTGCTCGGCTTGGTGGCGACTTTCCTGAGATGGGTGTTGGCAAAAACTGGACAGACCAGTTTGTTGAGAAGCATTCAAACAGACTAGGTACCTATTATGCTCGAGGTCTTGATAGTGCTCGAGGTCATGCTGTCAATCCTGCCACAAAAGATGCATATTTCAGTCTTCTGCATGATACACTGTCAACAGGAGATAATGGCAAACCAATTGAGCCCCACTGCATTTGGGCATTTGACAAGTCCAGTTTCCAAGGAGCAGATGAGGGAAAGGAGTGAGTGATAGGTGCAAGCAGCACTCATACTGTGTATGAGCAGCAAAGCGGGAGCAAGGAGCTGACAACAGTCATTGTCAGTATATGTGCAGACGGAGAGACAGCACCACCTTGTGTTATCTTCAAAGGAAAAAGTTATCGCACAAACTGGTGCCAAGAAAACCCTGCAAATGCTTCGTAAGTAGTCCTCATCTGTCAACCTAACTATACTAAAATGACCTTTAGCCTTGGATATTCTGCAAAAGGATGGACTGACGGTGAGCTAGGAGTACTTTGGATCCAACACTTTGACGAGCACACTCGAGACAAAGCCAATGGCTCTGCATGGCTTCTCCTAGTTGATGGTCACTCATCTCACTACACACGTGCTTTCTTGGAATATGCCTGCGCACACAACATTCACGTATTGTGTTACCCATCCCACAGCACCCACATTTACCAGGGTCTCAATGTTGTTGTCTTCAGCCAGCTGAAAGCTTGCTGGGCAGAGGAGAAAGCTTGGTGGCAAAGGGAACGTGGCGAAGAGCTTTCAAAACAAAACTTTTTAGCTATCTATGGACATGCTCACAATCGTGCACTCACAACGGAACTTGTCAAAGCCGCATTTGAGAAGACAGGGGTTCACCCATTCAACCCAAATGTTGTTACAGAGGATGACATGGCACCAAGTCAAGAAACATCATGCCGCGGGCACATGCCACTCGTTCAGACAACACCAGTCCGCCTGGTGTCCCGATTGATTCGCAGGGCAACTGAAGTCATACCTGATACAGCACAACCTGAGTCGGGCTCGAACCAACTGTCATTCATTTCACTGCCCTTACCTTTGACACCTTCACCAGCACTGCAGGAATCTACACGAATGACGGTCAGTAGCTTGGCTACAACATCTGCAGCATTCCTATTTACTTTGAGTCCTGCCTGCTCAACATCCCAAATCCCCATGTGCATGCCACAGACAGTATCGCCGCTACAGTACAAACAGTACGGCTTAACCGGCCTGCCTATACCAACACAGAACACAAACTACAAGCTGCCTTGCAGGAATCAGAGCGACGTGAGGAAGAATCCAAGCGACAAATGATCGGCTTACAGGCAGCATCAGTCCTACAGATCAGATACTGTGACAAAATGCGTGGTCAGCTTGCAGCACAAGAAGACAAAGCAGGGAGGAAGAAGAGTACAAGGCTCGTTGGTGACGGCTTACCTTGTATGCTCACTGGCGATGTCTTCGTGGCACAGGTTATTACACATGAGAATGCCATGGAGGCAGAAGCCAGGGAAAAAGAGCTGAGGGCAAAGAGAAGGGCAGAACGTTCTGAAGAGCTCGCACATTGGAAAAGGGAGGAGATAGAGCGGAAAGAGTGGAACAAAGCAACAAGAGCGGTTTATGAGACACAGAAGGCTGAGTGGGAAGGAGAACGAGATTTAGCAAAGTTGGAGAAACGAAGGTCACAGTAGAATAAGCCAAAGATGGGGGCAATCGAGAAACCTGTGTTGAGGCCAGAGCGAGCTCAGGTCTATGAGAGTGAGCAGGAAGACGATGATGGGGAAGAAGGTGAGGATAATTGATTTGACGATGACTCGGAGTGTGTGTACTGTGTGCCATCCTTTGATCTTATCATTACCTTTTGGAGTTACAAATTTACGGTGTTTGTGTGATGTGACATCTAAATCGAGGTGGCTAAAGGACTAGTAAACTCGAAGATAACACTGTTTTCAATGATCTTGATACAACACACTCACATCGTCGTCGATAGCTCTCAATGTTTTTTCATGGCATTTAGATATATATTGAAGTATTACTGTCTATTACGATTTTCGAAAAACTGACCATCAGGAAATGTGCAGAGGGGCCTGGATGGCCTGGAGAGTCTGGCTCCAGGCTATCAGGCAACCAGATTCGAGCCTGGGTCCACATGAATCTGCCATGACCAGATTGGCATGACTGGTACCAGATCACCACCAGATAGCTTACAGGTCCTTGACAGATGGCTTACAGATCACAACCAGGCATGGAACAGACATGATGAAAGCACCAGAATTGATCACATTCATTAGCAAAAAATGTAGTATAATACTAGTGTAAGCGCTGGTCAAAGACACAAGGCACTTTGAAAATAATTAGACCAGTAAACTTGTGACTCGGTAAGACTCACTAGCCTAAGAATTCTCTTTGTCGTTGTCCGAGAGGGGAATGGCATTATGAACATCCATGGAATCGTCATCCGAGGCAACATGGACATGACGGACAAGAGAGTCTTCACCTACGAGCTCCCACATCCCATCCACAATCTGATCCCACTTTTTATCTGGGAGTTGAGCTGTCTGCAGGGAGTACTGCATAGCGACACTGCCCCATGCTGCATCGAAGGAGAGGTTTTTCATGGGCTGGGAAGGGAGACCGGCACGCTTCGCGTCCTTGGCAGCTTCTTTCGCAGAATCCCCATCTTTGTACAAAAATAGCACGCGGTGCGCCTGCAAAATGGAGGTTAGTAGGACTTTACTAGTAACCACTGAGAATTTCGAACTCACCGCAGCTGCACAAACCCCTAATGCACCTGCAGGTTTCCCAAATGCTTGAAACGATGTTCCACAATGCCTCGCATGTGCCGCAAGTAACTCCAGGAGCACGGGAGCCAACCACGATCCTTTCAGACCCTGTGGTGGCACCGTCATGGTGAGGACCAATAATGATTGTAAGTGACGCTGACATACCTCATGATCAGTGTAAATGAATGGCACGCGTTTTTGACCATCTATTTTTTGAGGCAGGCGATCTTGGACGAATTTGATACGAGCGTTGGTGTCAAGTCGATATTCTGCTTTTTTGAGTTTGCGTTCGAGAATCTTGATGGCATTTTTCCCAAGCATACTCCACCACTCATTCAGCCGGTCCGTTGCCTCAAAGCCGAAGTTATGGCATCAGCATTCGAGGCACCCAAACTAGTACACCGTGACATACCACTTTTTTGATAGCAGGACACTTCGCAACATCGATCTTGTTGTGCGCGAAGAGAACATCCCACAGTTCCTGCAGCTTGCCAGAGACCTCTGGGTGTTCATTCGTACCGAAGGGATCAGTAGTCGTCCCAGCCCAATTGATCAGCGCACAGATCAATCGAGCCCATATCTCATTGTCCTTCTTATCGACAAAAGGTAGGTCTTCAAGCTTTAACTTTTTGAGTGGCTTTGATTTATCTTCTGAGTGTCTTATTTCTTCCACCACAGCATCATCAGCTCCCTTTTGCGTCAATGTCAAGCCCATCTGAATACAACAGACTTGTCAGTAAACACTTGTGTAAGCAGCAGTTGGGTACATTAGCAGTGACTCCCGCTGACTTCGTTCCCGTGGCATCAATTTTCTTTGGCAGTTTGGGGTTGCTGCCCTTATGCTTTCGAGTCGCAGCCAGTGACTCTGGTGTCTCATCGTGGTCAAACTCTCCATCTCCGTCTTCTTCAAATGTCGGTGTGGTCGCACGACTCATAGTGCTGCGTGATGATGCACCCGACATTGAACGGGAACATGTCTCCGAGGCTGCAGGTACAAGTTCTTCATCCGAAACTCTAATCGAACTGTACCTCACCGATTTTGTTGTCATCCCCACGATTTTCTTCCAGTCAGCTTGCAAGTTGCTCGAATGTGCACCCTTCACACGTTTAGTCTGCGATGAACCACTAATTTTTGCTCAGTAAGTCAATCAGGAAAAATTCAATGCTGGTACTGACTGTTCAGCTGTGTCAGGTTCCTGTGATTCAGTCTCCTTGTGCTTCCTCGCCATGGTTCCTGCTGTTGCTGTGGTCTTCCTTGCCTTCATGATTTCTTCTCGTAAGAACCGTTTCTGAATAGGTAAGAGTCGTTGCATGTCCGATATCAATTTAAATCACATTTACTCACTTTCTCTTTTGATGCAGTGCGTTTCTTACCCTTCTGAGCCTTACGGACTTCTTCTTTGACACTACTACTGCCGTCATGCTCCTCAGGCTCGCCATCCTCGCTATCATCGCCAGTCTCCCCCTTGGAGCTTTGGATTCTCTTGATGTGTTCAATTCTTACTATGTAAATAAGTATGCAGATCATCATGCACATGAAATTGTGTTCTGAGTATACATGGTATATCTAAGCACGCAGCAATTTTTTCAGCTCTTCTAATTGAACCTTACATTCAGCATCACAGCGAGGTCACTCAGCATTCCAGCGTGCTTCAATGAGCCCTTCAAGGTAGTCAGCAGGGACTGTGAGAGTTTCAACTTGGGGGCTCGGGGATTCAGGTGTCTTTCGCTTGTTGAGTATTTCAAGATATTCGGGTGCTGTGCGCAGTGGTGAATGATATGGTCTGCTATTGGGAGATGAGAGGTAGAGCCTCGTACTGTATTTGAAAGGGTCGTTGGGATTGTTACAGAGTTTGAGACACCGGAAAAGATGACTGGTGAAAGGTAAGTCACAACATGGTGTTTTGAAGAACTCGGAGTTGACTCACAGTTTTTTTTTGCGAGGGGCATGTCCTTCTGTGTTGGGGCCTTCCTCGTCATCTGAGAGTATGCCTGATTTGGTTGGACTCGGAGTTGGGGGTTCAGAGCACAAGCTAGTAGTATACACATGCCAGTGTCAGTAGCCCTAGTAGTAATAGTATTAGTAGCCTAATAATGAATTTGCTTACCGTTTAACTCCAACATGTTTGGGTGTTGTAGGGATGGAATCACGAGCCGAAGATTCAAGTGACATTACGGAAAATGTATGGTACACTGGTATAGTATGAGTAAGAGGTCTACTACATCTTTTTTTGCTGCGGTTGATTCATCTGTCATGCGTGAGAATGAAATTCCTACCAGACGTTCAGGTTGTCCAGGTTGCTTCCAGGACGTTCAGGTGGTGACCAGGTGTTGACAGGCCTTTGCACATTTGCTGATGACATACTGTACAATGGGATGCAGTTTAAAATGTGGTGGCTAAAGGACCGGTCCTATACTGTATGGCATGTCCTGCCGAGGGCGTGCAAGAAGGGGGATGGGCTGAATTAGGCTAGGAACTGCACAAAGTGGGTTCCCGAATTGAGAAATGGTGCTGCGAATCATTACCGGCAGCGTTGTGCATGGTGGGAATCTATCATGCATAAGGATTCACCCATCAAGGACTAGAGACCACCATGCATAACCATGCAATTTCTTACCACACATGGTTATGCATAATTAGGACAGTATAGCCTGAAATACCTCGCGTGATCTCGTGGGGCCTTCTAATGTACACAAGTCTCGAGTGATCTAGTAAGACCTAGTATTCCCTTGCAAGCCTCAGCAGCCTCGCACGATCAACCTGCCTTGCACGCCCTCGAGAGGCCATCCTAGACACACTCTTGGAAGGCCATCCAAGACAGGGCTATTTCCTCGCGAGGCATCGCAGGCCTTCCAATATTCGCAAGGTCGTGTATGGTCCTGTTAGGCCATCCGAGACCTCGTCAGGTTTGGGCACTTTTGCTGATGTTTGACCTTGTTAGGATCCGAAGCTTACTCTTACTACCACCCATGGCCATTAATATGATTGAATACCACTAGTACTGGAGCTCGCGGCACAGTCTCTGCTTCTCGCTGTCAGCCGCGCTCAAATCAACAAACCAGCAAATGGTACAGCTCTCGCACACCAGCCGGCTCGCAATCAAACTTCAATGAACAGGACCATTCTTGCTCAAATTACATGCCAATGAGGATATTAACGAGGCCATCAAGCGGTACCGTGAATCACTTCGGGTAGGGCCGCAAGATCACCCCGAGCGTCATACAAAGCTTTTAATTCGAGCTCGGCGCTCTGCTCTCGTTTCGCGAACACTTGGAAGATCGAAGATGTTGAGGAGGCCATTGAGTTCTGCCAGGAAGCACTGGCGGTTTTTCCACCACTCCACCCCGACAGGAACTACTCCCACTTCAGGATACGCGAGGCATATATGTCTCGTTACCGAGTGCATCATAAACCTGTTGATTTATCGCTCGCAGTGGAGAACTTCAGACTAGCATCAAAGCATCTTACTCAAGGCTTTCCAGCCCGTATTCTTGAGGCGTATAATTGGACTGTCACAGCGGAGAGGTACAGTCATGCATCAAGTCTCTGCCGCTCTCTAAGCTCCGCCGCTATGTCGACGCATACAATATCCCCGTCAAAGGCCGTATCGACAAGAATGACCTCGTGGATTCCATCATTGCTGCAAAGTCTATCCCACTATATCCTTGTATCGCTGACTTCTTCCAGACACCATCAGACACCCGTCCTCCGCCCCCAACTCAGCAACAAACATCCACATCACCACCCGATTTCCCCCGTCCTGACGTTGAACCTCAGCCAGCATCATACACAACGTATACCCCCGAGCCCCCTATACGGCGCCAGACCACATCTGCGCGGCCCCCGTCTCCTCCACCTCCACCTCTACCACAAACGCCCCCTCGACCAGCGCCTCTTCCACTCCACGCCCATCTCCAGCAGCCAACGCTAGCCCGCCTCCTGCGCGTTCATCGACTTCACCTCGCTCGGCACATCAGCCCTCCACGCCACCCACGCCTCAACCCCCACCACCACTCTCTACCTTACTGGCAATGTCCCCATCATCCCTCTCGCGTTTACCTATCCACATGCTGAAACAAATACTGTTCGAGGCACGCGTATGCCTTCCCACTGATATCCTTGAGAAAGAAGAACTCGTGGCGCGCGTCGGTACTTGGCTGGATGAGGAGAGAGCGGCAGCGGAGGAAAGGGATAGGATAGAGAGGGAGGAGAGGGAACAAGAGGAATGGGGACGGCGGGATAGAGAGAGGGCAGCGGAAAGTTCAGCCGTGGAGGCAGACGCAGAAGACGCCCATGTGCATGGGCCAGAAGACCCTGCTGAGAATGTCGAGATGCATGACGAGTCCCAACACCATCATTCCCCATCTTCCTCATCACCTCAACCCAGTTCTCCTCCCAGGATGATATACACGGAACGTTCGGGTTTATGTGTGATATGTCAGGATCAGGAGGCAAATATCGCGATCGTGGATTGCGGGTGAGTATCTCTCATTTCTTATTACACGCACGGCTTTGGCTAACTCGCCCCTACAAACATTTGTCCACGTGCCGTACCTGCTCAGAACTAGTCCTCGCCTCATCTCGCGAGCGTCCGCTCTGTCGTACTCGCATCGTCACAGAGGCACGACTTTTACGGATATTCAAGACATAGGCATGGGGAACGACGAACTTTTTTGGTCATTGCACATGCACAGAGGCTGCAATTGTAGATCATGCCCAGCCATACACATGCTGTCCTAGTCTGTATTGCTTTTGCGTTGTTAAGATATAGAGATAAGTTCCGAGTGGGACTTACGCTCGTCTGTAACTAACAATCTAACATCATGAACTCATCTTGTCACGGTTGTGCTAATTTGCTACCATCTTAAGTTCAAGCCCAACCTGCCAGTCTGTCATCAATCTGCTCAGTTGATGAAATTCCTAGTGATATCCCTATCCATCCATCAGTCCGTCATGGTTCCGATAAGCTGATCCAGATTCCACCCGACCGCTGCTTGAGGCACCCCCAACCTCCGCCGACGCATTGATCATACACAACTTGCCATCTATGACAAAACAGTCCGTCCTGGCAGTCGGCCCACCTCTCCAGAACGACAATTATGTGGGATGTGCTGCCTTTTCTACTGATGAAAATTGCTGCTAGTACCGGTTGCGACGACATCAAAATGCTTATATGTGATGATGTGGGACGTCCATGTGATCCTAAAAGAAGCGGGCCTTGGTACTCAGGCCGCTCAGTCCAACTCGTATTGACTTGAATCTACTTTTTTGCGGCTGCGGACTTCACCACTTTGCTAATATTGTACACACTACGAAATACAATGGTTTCTATCTATAACTCACACTCGTTCCCTCATATCTCACCGACAATGAATCGAGATCGGGGGTGTTCTTACAAACCAGAAGTACAACATGATTGCAAGACGGCAAGATAATCAGATTACTGAGTCCGCGTCAGGAACCTCATTTGCCAGTCAGGCCTCTATGTCTTGTTTGCGGTGTTACGGATGGTGTTAGGAAATGGCTTACCATGGTCAATATCCAGGGGTGAATGTGGGGCTCGCCGGCGCAGCAGAATTGCCGAGCCTGCACAGAAAGCACATGAAAATAATGTTGTAATCGCGGTTTGAAGATCACTCACTTTCATTCCCTTCTATCTCACCAACAACGAATCGAATAGCGTCATGTCGGTCGTAGTTGAGGGTGTCCTTATATATCTCAAGTACAAGAACCTCGTACGTGTTAACGTTGGAGAACAGTATGATTGTTGTGGCCACGCTTGCCGGTGCCGCCAAGGTAATGTCGATAGTGGAAGGCGGCACAAGTCGACGTTAAAGGCAAACTGCAGGGGCCACTCCAAAACAAAGGGTCTCTCAAATACGTCGGATGGGGTATCAGTCTGTCTGCGAGATCAAGCGAATCTCGCCACTTTCCAGGCTTGCTATCAAGAGGTGATCAGGACCACAACAAACATTTATATCTGACATAGAAAATTCAGTGTTGGCTAAATGCGACAGCGTCCTCACTTGTGTTAGGCCTCTGGATGGGTTTCTGAGGTGTTATGGCTAGTGTTCTTAGCACATAGCATGTATGCGCAGCGAGGGGCCACCACGATCGAGAGTTCAATGCTCAGCACTAATTGCTCACACACTCGTACCTTGCACGATTTGACGGCAAGTCCATGAAATAAACGGCTATTCGACTCTGCTGTAAAAATCGACCTAGAAAGGACCGATCTCAAGCGGCGTGTGGATGGATCAGCTTATCGAGCTGGGCATGACTGATGGATTGATTCGGATGAGGACTCATCCGTCGGGATGTCGTCTATCGAGCGGATATATGACTCACTCCCCATGAGTTGAGTTAATGATGTTATTAGTTACAGATGAGCCTAAGTTCTACTTGGTACTTATCTCTATATCGTAACCACGCATAACAAATACCCACATGGAATGCAAATATGACTAGGTGATCCACATCACAGCCATTGTGCATGCGCGACAGCCTCTGTGACAATGCGAGCACTAGTTCCGAGCAGGTACAGCACATGGCCAAATGTCTGTATGCGTGAGTTAGTGAAAAGGCATACGTGTGACAAGTAAAACGTGCAGAGATACTCGCCCGCAATCTACGATCGCGATATTTGCCTCCTGATCCTGGCATATCATACATAGACCGAACGCTCCGTGAATGTCGTTTCGGGAGAAGAATTGGGCTGAGGCGATGACGAAAACGGCGAGGTATGTTGATGAGACTCGTCGTGCATCTCGACCTTCTAGGCAGGGTTTTCTGGGCCATGCACATGCATCATGATGCATGTGGGTGTTTTCTTGCTCGGCCTCTATGGCTGACCTTTCCGCCTCCCTCTATCTATCCTGCCGTTTCCATTCCTCTTGCTCCCTCTCTATCCTATCTTTTTCATATGATGCCGCTCTCTCCTCCAGTCGAGTACTAACACACGCCACGAGTTCTCTTTTCTCAAGTATATCGGTGGGCAGGCGCACGCGTGCCTCGAACAGTATTTGCTTCAGTTTGTGAATAGGTAAACACAAGAGGGACGTGGGGGGTACTGCAAGGAGGGGGGGCAGGGGTTGAGGCGTAGAGGGCTGAGGTGGCGAGCGGGGTGAAGTTGATGGGCACACATGAGGCGGGCAAGTGGTAGACGCTGGAGATGGGCGTGGAGTGGAAGGAGGCGCTGATCGAGGGGATGGTTGCGGCTGCGAGGCTGTCCTAAATTGTCGTTGTGATTGAGTTGGAGGGGGCGGAAACTATGTAGGAGGGCTCTGGCACTGTCTTGGGGACTCGGGGGAAATCAGGCGGTAGTGCAGATGTGTGTTGCTAAATCGGGTGTGGAGGTCGGGTGTGATAGTAGGATTCGTTCGATTGGGGAAAGGTGCCTGATAGCGTCTGGGAGAGTGGTCAGTGATAAAAGGATGCATAGCACCTGTGCAGAGATGATAGACTCCACGAGGTCATTCTTCTCGGTGGGACCTTCATTGTATTATGGATCAACATAGCGGCGGAGCTTGGAGAGCGGAACCCGAGCTGATACTTGCTGGATGCAGTTACTGAATACAATACTACATCGGATCGGGATGCATTTGGTTGATGGTTGAGGCCTTGAGGAGCGTTCTAGGTTATAGGAGAAAAGCACAGACGCAGCTGGTTAGGGACACTATAGCCAGCGAGTCGAGACACTCTCCGGTATTTGCCGAGGGTATAACGAATCGATGTGGGTTTTTGCTCATCTTCAGGCACTGGCACTTCCATTTGCATACATTCTTCGTTTTCGCTTCTGAGGCGAGAATAATAGCTTATAGAGATCAGCGATGTCTCGGCAGTGACTCGGTATACTTGCTACTGGCACTTGCATTGCAAAAGGGGTCACGAAAATTCCGTGGCTATTCCTCGATTTCATCGTGACTCGCTCGGAATATTTCTCGATGCGGCACAAAACGAGATCAGTCTTTTTATCTTCTCGGCGCGGCAACCACTACGCACTAGCACTTCCATTGCAAAGAAATATCTCGTTTGCGAGGAACGATTTCGCACAAGAGGATTTGTTCTAGGGATCAGTTGGCTCAGCATAATCGTATTTACCTTTCTCTCGCTTGTTTCTTACATCGCCCCCAGCACTGGATGCTATTGGTTTTTCAAGTGCGACATAACTCACATATCGTCTTCACATATTTGACCCGAGGCATTTTTCGTCACCCGCATCCTGTTCCCCTGCTGCTTGTTAAGTCGTCACGAGTCTGCTGCCTCGCTCATTTTAAGCAAGCCACATTCTTTGACCTCAGGTTATAACAGCTGTAGTTCTCAAGAATTACGACATGGGGATTCATCGAGAAGTACTCTCCATGGTCAGTCTTGAGCTTTGAGCTCGGCATGGACGTCACGGTTAAAAACAAGCTTATCTCCGGGTCTGTAAGTTTTGGCTTGATTAGGACATTCGATCGATCGGGAGGAGATCATACACAACTTGCCATCTATGACAAAACAGTCCGTCCACCTCTCCAGAACGACAATTATGTGGGGTGTGGCGAACTAGTTGCCTTGTCGATGCGCTAAGCAGAATAATATAAGGCATGGAGTTTTTCTATATGAGGACTCAGGACGTGAGCCACCTTTAAGGATTCATGCGTAATGAACACATCAGGAAAACCTCCGGTGTCTTTTTTTACTTAATGCCACTTAATTTCGGAGAAATGAAACCAAAACGTCACTTTTTACACTTAATGGACTTTCTCAAAAGTCAATTCAGCGTGCGCCCAATCTCACAAGTCACAATGATTCAAAAAAGTGGCAAAAGTTGAATTAAGTAAAATAAGTAAAATAAGTATTACACGGCCCATCTAGATTAAGGGGGGGGGGGGAAGGGGGGGGGGGGATTTGGTGACGAGTTCTGAGGCCAGTTATGCTCGTCGAATTCTTCTTCGAGGGGGGCTCCAGTTGGCAGTTACGCTCGTCAAATTCCTCGATCGCTCGCTTGTGAGTGATGGTAGTTACGCTCGTCGAATTCCTCGATCACTCGCTTGTGAGTGGTGGTAGTTACGCTCGTCAAATTCCTCGATCGCTTGCTTGTGAGTGATAGTAGGCAACGTGGTCTAGTTGTGCTCACCGAGTTCCTAAGACGCAATCTCAAATGCGTGATGGTCTGCGAATTTGTTCACGTAGAATGCTTGAAAAGCGTCATACGAATCATAGTGCTTGAGGTCGCGTGGGATGAACTGTGTTCCATAGATTGGAACAAGGTGCGCGGCGCGATAGATTGAGTCGACGTGGATGATTCCAACGAACGGTGAATTATCTGTATCAAATGAAGGCTGGACGATCCACATCCCTGTGTCTTCGTCGGGCCCGTCGCTGGCTTTGTCGAACCAGCGTACTACAGCGCATGGGTACGAAATACCTTCAAATGTGAATGAAAAAAAACACATTATACGGGCTACCTCCATGCCCCCCATCCCTTCAACACCTGCATCCGTGTTAACGAACACGCAGTCATACCGGGGTGCTTCGTTTCTCCAAACGGGACAGGCACGGATGTGTTCCCGCCGCATGCCGCCAATCCCGCTGCGGTCACTGGGTGCATAAAACATTGACGACGCAGAGTTGAACACTTGAATTTTTCCATCGAATTGAGGACATCTTGCAAGCGGGATGTCAGAGGGAGCACGCTGGTCGTCTGGGTTTGCTTGCTCGAATAAGAATCGGCGGAGGAGGGTGTAGAGATGGGGGATACCAAGTTCTGTAGATAAATTAGAGATCGTGCATGCACATTTGCGTTCTGCGCAATGGGAAGGATTATATTAGAAAAGTATTCAATTGAAAATGTGAGCTAACTTACGAATCGTTTTTGCCAACTGAACGTGGGCTTGTACCAGCGTTGGGCTGTCGTCGATTTCACCCTCTTCGTTATCGCCGAGTATCATAACGTCGGGGTTGGAAGGCAGCACCAAAAGATTGTCGTTGTCTTGGTTGGACTCGTTGGTGGCAAAAGGATCCTTATTCAAGCACAAATGCTCTACCGCAGATATTTAGCACACGACAACACTTGAATGTACAGCGCAATAAAACTTACTTAATCTTTGAAGCATTGCAGACAGACAGGTGCCGTTCAACATTCCACGGCTCTTGAAATCCACGCGCGCTGCGGCAAGTTTATCTAAGCGCTGGTTTGTCACCAGCATTTGACCGAGTGCTTTGTAGCGACTCGATCGTCTCCACGGTTCCTTCACTGCCTTGATGTGCTTTGTCTCCGTGATTGACGAGCAAAGGCCATTCGGCGCACCATAAAGTCGGATAAGGAGGATGTAATGGGAGCACGAGTGTTGTCGAGGGAGGGAGAACGTGGAAACGACGCCGGTGGACTCAAAAATAGCCCTGTAGTGATGGAATCGGTCGAGAGCATCCTGGATTTGATATAATGTAGATTCCGTAATGATGCTATGCCGTACGAGATAGCAGAATTCAAGGAATGCACGAAACGTGCGCACCACATCAGTTGGGACGTGGCCTTCGATGGCGGTAAATAAACCTAGTAGATTGTTGTTAGTCTGATCAACTTGTGCAAAAATCAACTTGTGCAAAAAACTTACCTTCATAAGCGCTTTCGAATCATCACCTGTCCATTGTTTGAATCCTCGACCTTCTGGAAAGCGTCGAAGGCCTGCGAAGGAGGAAACTGCAGCAATTCTTTTATGATGTGAGTTTTGAAACATTTAATCAGGACAAATTGACCTACCTTCGGTCTATATCATCTTGAATTTTCTCTGTCTCTTTCTTACCATGTACGTGTACCAAATACTTTCCAACCCACTCGACCAAGTGATCCTTGAAGGTTCCTTTTATGAGTTGATGCAGGAGATCCGGTGCAATCAACTCATGTATATCAGCGCGAGGGAAGTCGTTTGTAAACGGCTAGAAAGGGTGAATCTCGGCTGCATTAGAGACATATATGAGACTTACAACAAGGTCGCTGACAATCCCGTACTCGTCCCACAGCGCGAGGGACGTTGCAACCTCTTCGATCAGCGCCTCCGTATGGTCACGACACCGACACAACGACTTCTCATCTAAATTCTTGCGGTTGGACATACACCTGTAGTACATTAGTAGTTAGTACTGAGGTAGAGGGCAGAGGATAAAAACACACCTGGGGCACCAGCCGCGCACTATACATGCTAGAAGAACCTGCTCTTCGTAATCTGCGATATACGGACCAAGCCCGTAAATCACACGCCGATAGTGGCCATCACCAAAGCGAACAACCTCTGGTTTGGTCATGCTCAGTCTCAGGTTCTCGAGAATCTTGGCGATGGATGAATGAAACAATTGTCGGCGATATTTCCGATATATTGCATCGGCAGCGTGCTCCTTCGTAGCTTCTCGATTGTAATTAGTACAGAACAACAGGAGGCATATGAAACTTACTTTTCAGCATAGCAAGGAAACCAACAATGGCAACGGCGTCACGATGTGCACGCCGGACGTTGTTGCGCACATTGCCAATCGATACGTATAAGGGATAGTAATCGTTCGCGCCAGTCGCCACCGAAACAGTGGTCTTATCAGATCCGAGTATAACCGGTACGAATGTTGAGCCGAGCGTATCCGGATCTTCACAAATTATGTCCTACCAAAGATTGTTAGTATGGGTCGCTAGAGAAAACAACAAAATAAAACATACGGCTTGATTCCAAGCCCAATCACCGGACATGAAGTCCTGCCATTGTCGTTTGTCGCCGTCAGCTGAGTACTCACGGAAAGGGCGGTAATCCATCTCTTTTTCGTAGTCGGGATTTCCCAACATATTCCGAATCACCTCATGGGGGTCACGGTACCACACATCATGAGACTGGTCCATCCAGGGTGGTACATCGCTTGTTGGCTTCTCCCCAGTGTACCGTACCTTGAACGATTGCCATTTGACATCGCCTAATGGTGTATTGTCGATCGTTCTATGCAAGTCGCGGCAGTCTGCGAACGGCGGCTTGTCGTCGTATTTCAGGAGGGTTGCGGCCCAAAGATCCAATAAAATGTTGATATCCCCGGCGGACATTTGGTTGCGCGCATACAGAAACTCCGCAGTCTCAAACTCGACACGATCCCGGTACGGAGTCCAGTCGTCGGGCGACTTGTCTGGAGGTGGCGCTGGAGGTGCACCATCTTCAAGGAAGTGTCCCGTTGCATCACATGGACACGCTGATATCAATTCTGGTTAGTTGCAACACAACAGAAAGCTTCAAAGAACGTACCGTTTAGTTTAGGGTGATAGTTACGGTATAATCTATCACCTGGCCCGAAAAAAACAGTGTCTACGTCGACCGGATTGTTGGACTTGTCAAATGCCTGTCCCGGGTCAGACAAACCTGCTGGAAGGTCATTATTGTCCGCAGGGTAGTCGTTGTCGCCTGCGGGAGGGTCGTTGGCTGGTAGTTTGGGCTCGTCTTCGACTGTGACAGTATGCGAGACAGTGGCTTGTCTAAACGTTGGGTGGGAAACGTTCCAGTGCTTTTTGCGCCCTCCTTGAGTCTTGAAGTAGCGAGCACAGTGTAAGTAGCCGCATGGAATTTGAAGTGCGTTGTGGTCCTTGCGCATACTCTGAGACATCCCAGCTGGAAGATAAACGACACGAGCACTCGACAATTGCTGGTGGAGAGGCGCTGGGGGTGTGTAATACTAAAAGTAAGTTCAAATCAGACATATTTCAACAGATGCCGATTAGTGAGCAAGCGCCACAGGCGGCGCCCATTGGGGTGAGACTTACGAGTTTTTTCAACCAACTTCTGTTACTTCCTTCTTGCTCCAGCAAAAGTACCATCCCTCCACCCCCAAGTCGCCCATCTGCCCAGTCACAATGTCTTCCACAGAAGCTTCCCGCCGTACCCGTGCATCGAATGCAACCGCCAGACCTGGAAAAATAGTGCTCGACGCACAAACCAAGAGGCGCACCAAGGCACAGAAGGCTGCTGACAATCTTGCCGTTAAAGAAGCCAAGAAGCCAAAGAAGCGGCGGTCCAAAAGGGAGTTGAGCGCCTTGCTGGTATGCAGGTTGAGATGGAGAAGGTACAGAAGGAGTTACTCACCAACAAGGCGACTCCTGTTTGGCCCAAGCCAAAGGCTCGAAAGGCGACAAAGGCTACTGTAAAGGGAGGTGACAATTGCACTGATAGTGTATTAGATGACGTACCAGACGCTGATGTGGCAGAGGATGCTGCTGAGCCCGTGGATCATGGAACCTCGGGGAAAGGGAAGAAAACTGCTAAGAGAAGTGGAAAGAAATTGATCAGAGACGCTATCAGCAATGTGCAAAAGAAAATCAGCGAGTCAACGTTGATTGCAGAAGGCGATATCAATATCAATAGCATCGACGATAAGCCTAAGGCATGTGCTGATGGGAAAGGCTCCACGCCATCATCGTAAGATTTAGTTCTCCCACCACCACAATGTTGCTCCTAACTGAATCGACACTCTATTTTCTCAATCTTACATATAGCATCAACGCGACCACTCAGAAATTCGCACTAGGTGGCCGAGTGACCAACTGGGTCTCGGGGGTCAGGCCTGGACAGTTGGAGTCAGTATCCCGCCAATCATCCCGCCAATCCAGCACTTCAACCCGAGCACCTCCAACGTCAATTTTCTCGCATGACACTGCTTCCTCAGCAGCAACCTCAGCTGCTCAGCCTCGGACTCAGACTCACATCCCCCCGCCCCCAACTCAAGTTGCTGATTGTATCCCAGAAGATGCCCTTACTGGTGGCTTTGCGGATGAGATTGACGATTCATTGGAGCGTGAGGCTGCTTGCCTGGATAGCAAGCAAAAGAAGGGGAAATCTAAGGTAATTGACCATGAATAATTGGTGCAGTCCGCTAACAATTTTCTTCACAGGTAGCCTCAATTTTTGACGAGGACTCAGACTGCGGCGGGCCCAAGGCTCCCTTCACACAAATACCATCAATAGAATTCGACTCGGACGATGAGCTCATGGATTCATTCACGCAAGAGGATGAAGACTTGCAGGAGCCTAAGGCTCCATTCACACAGATGGACGATCGCATAGCCACGGCGGCCCTCAAGCGGAAGGCAAGTGTCAATTCTGTCTCAGACGATGACGAGCAGTCCCAGTGGTCCATGGACATCGATCGTGACGATGTTGAAGATTTGATCGAGGACTTCGATAGTGAACCGCCACAGGCTAACCCTATCGTAGTGAAAAAGGAGAAGGTTTTGCGCATGACAACTTCGGTAAGTACCCTTGGAACTCAATAGTGTTTATTCTGACACTTATATAGACATCTGCGACCACCTCTAATGCCGACATCAAGCCGCCTGCTCCAAAAAAGGTCAAAGTTGAATCTTCCGGGACTCCACATGCCCAAGCCCAGGCTCCTGCCCGAAAACGCCAGCCGAACGTGGATACTGCACCAGAGCACATGAAATCACGCGGTGCGTATCGTACGGCTGACTTGCCTCCAGCGATGCAAGCGGACCAGCGCTGGGCCAAGACATTCCTCCCTACCATAATGATGTGGGTGGGAAGCTACGAAGACATCTGGAGCATTCCAGATGACGTACTGCTCCATCATGTCCAGCTCGTTTTCAACGTGGTATATCACGAACTCAAGATTGTCGTTGTTCACGGCAGTGTGGTACATTTACTCGTAAGTTCGCCGATTTATGTCTAGCATTAACTGATGTTATATCTTCGATTAGACTGCACAGCGTATTTCAGAATGGCGGAGTAATTTTGGTTCAACGGCCATTGTGATAATCATCAACTTCTTGGCACGCAATTCCGACTGCGACTCCAGCGAACTCGCATCCTCCCTTCTTGCCAGCTGGGCGTTTTTATACGAGGACCCCGATAATATCAACCCCCTCACAGCATATCGTTCACCGTTCCTACTGCAGCTGTATGGTAGAGCGCACCTCAGCGCCATCAATGGTTATGTGGAGATTCCTTCCCTCGACTTGGGAGCACTTGCAACGATCGGGACGTCACGCGTTCTTGCCCTTTCTGCTGCGGCGGTGAGTTTAATTTTAAATGCTTTAATCGCACTCATTTTTTTTCAGCTCGAGCGTGCTCTTGGTATGATCTCCCGCAAGGAACTCAAAGTCGAAGAGATCCTGTTGTCTGCGTCGAGAGAAAAGTTTACGATCAAGCTTCCCAAGGTCCTTAACAAGGCTACAGGGAAAAAGACCAATGCACCATTCTTATTTTCGGCAGCTCGCTGGTCCAAAGCTACTAATTCGTACATCAAGTCTATTTCTAGCAAACCCACTGGCTACGTGGAGGCTACGGTAAAAATGGCACGCGCTATTTTACAGGATGTTGCTGAAACATCGGGCTCGCTCAACGACTACGAATCGGACGAGGACGAGCGTGCTATGATCTGTAAGTTTTATTTATTCCGACTTCGTCTCGCTGACATCATATACTACATTGCTGCAGGATTTGTCTTCGAGTCGTTGTACCGCTGCCGCCGCCCTACAGTAGATATATGTCGCCGCGATCATCGCTTTTGCCCCACCTTTTTCTCCTTATGTTCGAATGGCTCCCAACTTTTCATTTTTGGGAGTCTGCTTAATCTACACTTATTTCTACTTGTATGCCCCCCTTTCAATAACAATTGTGCCGCTTTGTCTGCTTTTTGTCTGCTTTTTTAAGCGAAATAAGTGTTGAAAAAGCGAATCTCCAGATATTGAGTGGGCTTTTTTAAGTGGCTCACGCTTTTCTCTCAAATGACTTATCGGTCGCTTTTCATGAAATTAAGTGACAAATAAAGTGAGATAAGTAACTTGTGGTTTTCCTGATGTAGTAGCAGTGTGTAGCTACCTGTAGCTCGAACGAGCAAATGCTAGCACTATTTCTATTGCACCCTGTAGCAACTTGTAGTAACTTGTAGCACCTGTAGCACCTGTAGTCAGTTGCTACAACGAGCTACAGGAGTTGCCGTAGCACTATATAGTCAGCTGTGTGGCTATATAGCCGCCTATAGTAGGCACTTGACACATTGTGCTACAGGTACTACCTTGACTATATAGCACCCTGTAGTCAAGTGTATTTTTCCTGATGAGGTCGGCAGGCGTCTGCGAATAGATTTAGAGCACTTCCAGAGGGGCGGGCTGATCAAGCTGTGCCAGTCGCTCTGCATAAAAGACTTGGTAAACGACATCGTTCAGAGTTGATGCTTACATATCGGTAATAACCTGGCAAATAAATTGTCTTCTTGTCCAGTCATAGATACGAGGATACCAGCGGGAGGGAATGAAAGATGGATTTGGAGAACCTGCTTCGCATCGTTGTCGAGTCTCGGCGTAGTCCTAACAAGGTGATTTGGAATGGAACACTTCCACCAGGAATGTACGACTAGGAATAGTGTAACAAGGCGCATTAACTAGAGCTAAAGAACGCCATCCGCCATGCCTGACAATAAAGAAAACAAGATTAGCCAGGTGGAATACGAGAGAGAGATAACCCGTACATTTGAGCTTGGTTTCCGTTGATGTACAGTCCTCGAAACGGATCGC